AAAAATCAGTGATTTGACTGGTTACTGTTGTATAAGAGTAGGCAAGTGATGTTTAAATGCTTCAGGAAATCCTTACCTGATGCAGTAATGGGAAGTAAACAGACTATGAATGCGTGGCCATGAAATGTTCATGAATTGTGCTCTTTTGGAGTGGATATGGAAATATTGCTTTTCAAAACACCTTCAGTCCTGAAGCTAAAGTGTGAAAGCCGCTGTAAATGTCATCAGCTTCGGTGGCCAGTTGAAGTGCCTCTTTCTCATTGTCAACTAAGTGGGTTTAAAGAAGACTCCTCTTAGTACTGCATACATTAACAGTCGAGCCTTCATTGTGGGCTGTCTCTCTTATACAGGGGTTGACACTGTCATTCTCTGTGGGATGCTTGAAAAATGTATAATGAGGAAGTTGTGCACTTGTCTCCTGTAATTCCTCATCCTAAGTGAATAAACAAAAACCTTAAGGATAGACTTAAGATATTAACAGTTCACATAATAAGTCAGATGTACACTATGCAGTTTTTTTTAATCCAATTATTAATGCTTTCTTTGAAAAGGGCAAATCTTTTTAAGCAGAAAACTGCTACATCACAGAATGTCTTTTTTTTAGTTTGGTGTCTTATGTCTAATGTGGACATAATGTGGAGTTAATGGTAAACAGCTGCTCAACAGCAAAGCAGATAGACAAAACAAAGGTGGTTGAGTAGACATGTCAGGAATACTGTATACAATACTGGTCTCCACATCTTGAAAATATGGAATAAATGTTTAAGAGCAAGCAGTCTCATCCAAAACCATGAGGAACGTATAAGCATTGAAGTTAGCGTCTCCTTCTATTTTTGTATTAAATACAAAACCAGCTGAAGAAAATGTTCCTCCCTGACCCTAGGAATATTTTTTACAGAAAATTAATGAAGCTTAATGTGTGGAATAAATGTTTCTCAGGCTGCGGAGGCTGCCATAGTGGGATATCTGTGGGATATCTCCAAGCTCAGCTTGATGCTGTGTTGTCAAGTGTGGAGATCTGATCTGCTCACAATATCAAAATATGCTCTTTAGTAGGTAGCTGAGGGGTAGCCATGTCTTGGGGTCTGTTTGGAGACACCTGAGCCGATTTAGCAGGGAAGCTGCTTTGGACCTGAACGTAGGTCTTTGGGGGAAAATAGGATTTCAAATTACGTAACGGAGGACCGTGGCTTACTCTGGGATGTGAGTTCCGGACAACCACAAACCTAGGTGGCATACAGAAAGGTGAGGTCTAATAGTCCTCTTTTACTACGCATTTCTTCTATGTGTGTTTATCTAAATGTGAGCCTAATCAGGCCGACAGACATTGGGATCCTGTTAGAGTGAGACTGCGAGTCATCCTTTTGTAGTGGGGCACTCGTCTGCCTTCTGGCACCCACACCCAAATTCCATCTGTGGTTGGACTGAGGGGAGAGGACGATGACTTTTCATGTTTTGTATTGATGGGAAAAAAAAAACTGGAGGAAAAGAAAATCCTGCTGGGAGCAAAAGGCCAGCAAAATGCCAGTTAAGAGAGATGCCCAGCAACACGGGCCTGGCCCAGTACAGGAGCGCGCACCGCATCCTGGGACCTTTTCGTGAGTCAGCCCCAGGATGTGGGGAGTGCATCTCCCCTATCGTAACACAAGTTGGAGCAGCTGAACAAACCCCTTAATTTGTTTGCCCTTTTTCGTATTTATATTCTTTGATTGAGGAAGCTGGCAAATAGGCAGCTGTCTACCGTGTTTGTGGAGCTGTGTCACAGCCAGGAGGGGGCCTGGGTATGCCCTCCAGCCCTTCAGACTTCTCTCAGGATCGCCAAAAGAGCTTGACAGGCCAGCGTCTCCGGGCTGTGCTGTGTGATCTGGTGTTTCCTTTTTCAAGGTGTGCTCAACTGGGAGACAAGAGTGCAGCTCTTGCTAATCTATCCTGCCAACCCCTGTGGGGAAAACCCCAAATCCCCTGAAGGAGGGCGGGGAGAAGAAAACACTTTTCAGTAAAGAGTGGGTAGGAAGTTGCCTTGACCTTTTCTCTCTCAACTCCCCCTCTTTTACTTTTACTCTTTTACTAGTGGGCTTCTAAATATTGCTGGTGACTTGAGGTTGATCAGTTCTGAGGCTATTTCTAGCAGCTTGCTTCTATTGATTGATCTTTTTTTAAAACCGCAGACTGGTCATTGTTAGTTGGCCTGGCTCGCCACGTCAGTGATGTCCTCCCATCATTCGGACAGGCTGTGGCCTTTTGTGTTTGATCCTGTCAGGGCTTTTGCGTCACTGATGTCTATCGCGTTCGCTCCGCGTGATGTCAAAGTGTGGGTGTTGTAGCTCTAGACACGGTTAACCTAATGTGCCGCAGTGAATCCTGAGCGCTGAGCTCTCTGGGGAACAACAGGGAAAGAATGATTCATCGCTGCTCACATTAGACTAATTCTAAGTATAGCTGCGCTCTCGACCTGTGCTTTTCTAAAAGGATTATTGAATGCCCCCCCCCCCCAACGACATCTCTCTGCTGACATGAGCAAGCAGGGAAAGGGGGGGCCCATGTCTTTAGTTAAGAAAAGCAGACTTGCTTTGGATGAGAGGTCCAACGTAAACTGCATCTTTTTCCACATCCCCAGTGTAAGTAACCCCTTAAGTTTCTGTTGTCATGCACACTTAGCAGTTTTGTCTGATGCTTTGTTACAGTGAGGCGACGACGAGTATATGTATTACACATCCACAGTGCTTCTGGAGCTTTCACTGTCCATACTCCTCTCGATTCAAATGGTAAAAACAGGCTAACTATATGTTTTGATATCAGAAATCTGTAGTGTGTATGTATACAATTACAGTGGTTAGATATTTTCTCCAGCGTAAGAAATTCTTATGGTAGGCTAAGAGTAGTAGTGGACAAAAAAAGTGGGGACACCTTTTTAAACCAGGGATGCCAAGCATATTGAAATCAAGGACTCATGTGTTTTGTTTTTAATTCTTTTAATACCACAGTCCTGGAATCCAAAGAGAAGGACTTGGGTATGAAATGAACAACTGACTGACTAATGGCCAAGCTCGCTCACGGGTGCCCGGACAGTAGTAGTCTCCGGGGTGGAGAAAGTGGCTGCTCCCTCACACGACTTCCTCCTGTTCAGCCACAGCAGTACTTGGTCAAGCCCACTCATGGCAGCTTTAACCCACGTTTGCCCTGTGGCACAGCCTAGTATAAACATATATACCACATTGGCATATTTTCTTGAGATCCAAACTAGTACTCCAGATTCCTCTCTTTTGAACCTGGCATCTCCCCTCCATAACAATTACACTTTATTGTCTGTAGAAAATTGTACTCGCCATTGGAGATGTGAAGTTTTCTGAGTAGAATACTTTCTGCTCAGATTTATCTGCTTGTATGAGGAACGAGAAAGTAGCAAAGAGCTCATAGATATTGATTCCCAGTCCAGCTTGCTTCCTGTTAGTCCAAGTCCCTGTTTTACCTTTAAGTACTGATGGTATTTGTACAGCCTCTGGTTAAAAGTTAAAATATTGGATTCTTATTTTCTCTGCTCCTCCATGGGTAAATCTTTTAGGCTTCAGTAATTGCAATTCACCTTCAGACTCCCCCGTTAGTCCCTTAACGAGATCCTGTCTGGTGTTGGAGAAGAGAAGAAACAGTGAATTTGACAAGTTCTTCTACTCAAGGCTGCATTCACATTCATCCTGGTTAAAACTTTGTCTTTTTTTTTTGCTTCTCATATCTATTGCATTAATTCAGCATTGTTCTCTTTATTAGAGATGTGCAGTTTAGGAAGCTACTAGAATATGTAAAACATTGCTAAAAAGTTGAGTCATTTGCTTAAATATGGGCTATGAAAATATTTTTTCATTGTTAACAGCATAGGTATTTATATTCGGTATTAGGTTATAAACTGTTTGAGAACCAATATGACTTGTAACTGAAACTGAAAACCAAAGTATGCATATTGTTTAAAAATAGCCAGGAAATTAATCAGTTTTTATCTTGGTCTATCCCTCCAAGCCAACATTGAAATAAATAATGTATTTAAAAAGAAATCATTACTTGTGATTACACGCATTACATATTATTTCTATGTGGTTGTCATTTTGCTGTTCCCACATTTTGTCATCAGAATTTTCAAGAAATCTTTCTTCTGCATTTGGGATTCTGAGCCCTGATGGGCAAACAGTTTGAAAGCAGCAGTTTTATATTTGTATTTGTACAGTTTTGTTTTCTGACAAATTAGTGTTTAAAACTAAGCTTGATATTTTAAGGAGTTATTCACTGTTTTCAGTCTTTGCTTTTCTCTTAAGCCAAGGAATGGGTGAAAACATTATTGACCTTTAAACATCCTTTTTCTGCTGTGAAAAATCTTGTTAAATAGCCTCCCACTGAGCGTTCAGCACGTTCTGTATAACCCGAGCTTCGTCCAGCCTGTGTGGTGGCGATGGTTCTTTACGACTTCTGTGTGGAGTTTGCATGTTCTCCCTCGATCATGTAGGGTTTTGCTGCAGCTCTGGCATCACTGGGCAGAGAAGCAGACCATTCAAAATCAATCGTTTGTGGCATTACAAAAGATGTGTCTTGGTACCCGAGTCAGAGATATTAACATCTTTCTAAACCGAGTGGTATAGGAAAAAAGGCATTGAAAATAATCTGCTCTGGTGTAAAGTTAAGGGGAAATAGTTGGTGAAAACAAAATAGACGACCCATACCAAAAACATTTGCACTTCAGGCTGTGATATATCTCCTTAGTAAAACAGCCATGTTTCCATATCAGGTGAATAACTGATAAGTTGCTGCTGCTATCTGAAGTGTAGACGCCTGGTTTCCTTAGAGGATTTTAATATTTGCACTACACATTATGCAAGTATTGTCTGGGAATGCTAACACTTGGACAGAAGATATTTTTAGCTCCACAGATGATGCACTCCCGTGTGGCGTGCGACAGATGCATGTGTTACACATGCACACAGAAAAGCGCTGAAGTTTCCGTTTGTGTTTTCCAGGTCCAGCTCAGGTACCGATGATGTCCCCAAATGGTTCAGTGCCTCCAATATATGTGCCTCCTGGATACGTCTCGCAGGTAAAATGGGCTGTCCTACCGGTTTCCTTTTTTTTCTGGATCGGGTGTGTTTTGCGTGCTGTTTCATTTTCTTGAGCTCTGGATTTCTTGTGACACGACAGCACTTACGAGACCCAGTTGAGAATCCTGAATCCTGATTTTGTTTTCACTGAAGCACATACCGTAGGGAGAAAAGAAGCCCCCAATCCCGGAAGAGTCTGAAAAGGATGTCATCCGCAAGCTTGGCTTACACTAGCAGAAACAAAGTGACTTGTCAGAATGTGCCTAGCTTCCAGACTGCACAAGTGTCAGGAGGATGCACCGGTCTACCGTGATTTATTTTCAGAGTGTGGTCCTGTGCTTTGGCATCTACAGGTTTTTATTTTAATTAAGTCACAAGATCAACTTGATTTTTAGCTTGGCTTCAACAGTGTTGTATCTAAATCGATATACATTTAAGCTAGATGAGAAGAGAGACCTTAGATGAAACAGAATCTCACTTCGATGTATGATGTTTGTGGACAGTGATACATACTGTAACCTGTTCATTTGGTCAGTATCACAGTATCAGCAGGTATAGGTATCTCATACCTCAGGTTGTTAATTTTCTGTTCTTCATTTTCTGTTAACTGTTGTTTAAAGTTGGAGGCTGAGAAACCTGACTGAAGGAAATTCAATCTTTGTTCAATGTCAGCGTATATAGAAACAGGCAGAGCAAGCAGAGGTGTAAAGAAGTTGATCCATCCAAGTCTCCCTAAGCTGTCTGTGGAACAGAGCACTACCACAATAAAATAAGCATAAAGCCCAACTGCTAGATCAGGTCCAGTTCATGGTGAGTCAGTGAGCAGTTAACATGTTTTCACTACGCAAGTGTTTGGTTCCTCAAAACACAGGGGGAATAAAATGTTGAAGACCAGGGTTTCAGAGCCCTGACAGGACATTGATTTGTCCACCTCTAGCCCCTGACATGGCGTTTCTGCCTGCTTCCAAACCCCCCCCCCCCCGCAGATCATCGAGGAGAATGGCGTGCGGCGTGTCCTGGTCTTACCTCAGCCGGAGTTCCACCCCGGGAGCCACTCGCCGCTGCACCCGCCAACCCACCCGCCCCTGCCCGCCTTCATCCCGCACCACGCCATGATGCCGCCCCCCCACCACCACCTGTACTCCACGGTGAGCGGGGCCGGCGACATGGGTACGCAGTACATCCCCCAGTACCACGCGCCGCACGTCTTCACCGAGCAAGGTGAGGCACCGTGCCGCCCCAGAGCGGCTGACTTCCGCTTTGCGCGGGCTTTACCCCACGAGAAACAGGACGCCATGAAACAGTGAGGTTTCAAGGAAATCTCGGAGTCTAATTGAAGAGTCCCAGCTGGCAGCCTCCGCATTTTGAAACATTGAGTTTGTTTTGCCTGTGTGGCGTTCATCTTTTCTAAATGTGCCCACTGTTGAGATGGGTACAGTGAACCTTACATACATGTTTGTATCTGAGTGCTTAACCATTCCTTTGTCATGTAGACAAAACGGGTATTTTCACATCTCTTTCCTTGTTTGTTGTAAATCCCGTATAGCTGAGAGAGCTGTGTTTTGAATTTGAAAAGTACTAATATTTCTGAAGGTGTCACTGAGCCGGAATATAAAGGGTGCCGTGTGTAAAATATATTTAGGTGACCCAACACCACATTCAGTAATCCTGGTCAAGTTTTGGTTAGGTTTCAGTTAGGGTAACACATAATAACCCCACATTTATATAACCTCCTTTAGCTCTGGAGGATGTCAAAAGTTGATAAACTGTGCGTGAGGTCATCTCTGTTTGGAAATGTAGCAAGGAAGTTAGGCATAAGTAAAATACATACAGTATTATTGTAAAAAACACTTCCTTGTTCAATGGCCAAACCTGAAGTACCTGTCTTGTTGCTGTTCTTTTTGAAGTTGGTGTTTAGACGGATAAAAAATTACCTGAACAAATGAGCTTGCCACTGTATTTGTAATGGTCTGGATTCATTTTCAGGATGCAAACAAAGTCTGGAGTGCCTCTCAGTTTTGATCCCGTGACGACAGTGTTTTTTTGTTCTCTTGACTCACCACGTTCCCTCATTAATGGATGTAAAACCTCAACCTTTGGAGAAGGAATGTAGAAAATAGCTTCTAGATCCTTGACTAAATCTGTATCTTTTTAAATCACTGGGTTCATTGATCCTGTTCTTGCTGTGATGCATTTGTAGCATACAGCTAGCTGGATGATTCACAAGCTGACTTTCTTTTTTTGGTTTTTGTCCTCAGAATCTCATTCTCCTCATGGAAGACCGGCCTTTGTTCACCGGGATGAAAGGACCAGTAAAACGTACGAACGTTTGCAGAAAAAGCTCAAGGAGAGGCAGGGGGGCGGACAGACAAAGGACAAATCAAGCAGCCCCCCCTCGTCCCCACAGAAGGATGGCTGTGACTCCCCAGTGGACATCCAGAACGGTCTGGCCAAAGGACAACAGGCGCCAAGTACAGCAGCAGGAGAGGCCAAAGTCAAGCAGATTGGCAAAGTGAAAGGCAGCCCGCGCATAGACCCAGAATCAGAAGGTATGTGCTCATGCTTACGGGCTAGTGCGAAATAAGCCTGGAGTCAAAGAGCCTCAGCCAGCAGAGAATCCATTATCAGAAAGCGGGTTATTCTAGGTAAGGATCATGGCTATTCTGGAAACACAGAGAGCAAGATGGGACTGCTCCCTGGACAAGATCACAAGACAGGACATGCTTACGCAGAGATGGACATGCTCTTTAACCTAGTCAGCACGTCTTTGTTAGTAGAACTAGTTGCCACACCACTATACTGCCCTCATAATAGTGATTTGACTTTAGCTTTATTTTCATTCATAGCAAGACAAGCAGGTGATTAACAGCAGGTGATTAGAACAGGTCCCTCATTTAAAGGATAGTACCCTTAGAACTGCAGAATCACGCTGTACGCCTTCATGCGTCATCATTGCAGACTGAATGCTTCAAGACATGTTTCCCTTTTCTGCCAGCTGCATATTTTTCTTTTTTTGGCTCAATCTTCACAATTGCACACGAGCCAGCTAGCAAGAAAAGGCCTTAAGAACAAACACCTGTTTCCAATGTTCAGATGGGGGGAGTCATACTACTGCCTTCATTAGTCTTAATTATATTGAGTCAAGCAAAGTCATAAATCACAGAAACTCACAAGATTTTCTGTAGCCATCTGGCTCTAGGAATTGGAGCTCAGACGTTAAAAGTGGCTTAGGTTTATGGCCTTGTCTGTGGGCAATGCAGGGTTTTTCACGATAACAGGGATGCAGATGGAGTTCTCTTCCTCGAGGATCCCACAGCACTTGACTGATGAAGTTTCAGCTGAGGCAGCACTTGCACATTGAAACACAGTACAGGAAAAGTAGATCTTTAAGGGTGAACATGGAGGATTTAAGTAGGCCTGTTTTTCTAATGATCGAGCTTTTAGTTTTTACCTGTACGATGATAGCTATGACTCTACCTAATTGACATAATAGTTTGCTTGTGTAATGGACATGGTCTGTTTTTCTTTGTTGGAATGAAAAGTGCTGTATGAATGTAATGAATCAATTAATTAGAAATCTCCAAACAACAATCATAAGATGATTTGAATCAGCCTAGCAGGTTTAAGATGGCAATTCAAAGTGAAATAATTCCAAATGCCTCTGCTGAGTGTTGTGCATAGTCTCTTGGTATAAAATCTAGCCTACTCATTTTATTGTGCTGATATGAAACATTTTGATTGAAGATAGCTTTTAAGAGGGCACATTTTCTACAGTTCAGATGTTAATTTCTATTGAGGGATGTTGCCATAAAAGCACAGTTTTGTGTGGTTTCTTTAAAGCTTTTGGTCATATTGAACATTTTTTTTTAATGTTGGGATTTAAAACCCTTACAAATGCAAAACCCAAACCCTCAGCATTGCTGGATATTTCTATTTTGATTTTCATTTTAATGCACTTATTTCTTTCTAAGGGAACATTTAACAGCATTCGTATACTATATAGTGCGTTAATATTGTAGCTCATGAGTAAACTTTTAGAGGTTTTTTATTGATCCCAAATGTTTTTGGGTATTTTTATAGTATGAAACTCCCCTTCCAACTTTTATTTCAGAATAGGATTTATATAAAGCCTGTGCCCCCTGGGGCTGCAGGGGCTGCTGTTGATGTACATTGATGTTTCAGCAGTGTCCCTGTCTGTTATTACAGCAAAGGTCAGACCATATTCCTCAGGCTTTCATTTTGTGTGTGCTGTGCAAACCAAGTGAATGGCAATCCATTTGTGGCAGGAAAATTGAAGTTTAGAGCAGAGTGGTATGCTCTATTTTGCTAATGTATGTCCGCTATTATAAAACTGTTTGCCATATGGACTTAACGTTGAGCCCCTTTGCTTTGCAGTGGGAGCCTGGTCACACCTGGATCTGGGTGATCAATTAGAACAGCCTCAGGTGGAATTTCAGCCGCGTGTCAAAAAGTAATCATGGAGGATAAATGGAGCTTCTTTAAGTATGAACTCCACACTGCCAGGAATCATAAGCAAAATGATTTCTCAACAGGGGGTCTGCTGTGAAAGTGGGTCGTTACTGTTGGCAGCAATACAAGGTAGCAGGCGCTTGAGATTCTGTCCCATTCACATTTAGAGCCCGTTCACTGGTCTCCGAGCCATCGAATCCATAGATGCCATAGATCGTTCCAGCTCATCCCAGAAATGTTCAGTGGGTGTCAAGTATCCCGCATACGCCACAGGTCCGGTATCCTCAGGGTAACTCTCACATTCTCTTCTCAGGAACGCAGTTTTTACAATCGTCACAAAGAAGTGTGTCATTCTAATGAAATGTGTTGACATCCTGGTGAACCTGCAGGAAAGGCAGCAAGTGAGGTCCCAGGATTTGATCCGTCTTGCACCATGCAGTCAGGGGGCCATCAATGGCTTCTGAAGTTCTGTGATATTTTTTTTGCAAGCTCACTTGTTTCCGTTTACACCTGCACTCAAATCAGTCTCAGTTTATTTTGCTAGTTTTCCAGCATTGAAACTGTCCTTTTAAGGTAGTTGGGCTGTATGGCCATCCTCTTCTCTTTTTCAAACTTTTCAGAGTTCCCATGGAGGAAAAAAGCATAACAAAAGTATGGACCACAGATGGCCTTGTTTAGTGTTTCAGAATGGAAAAAAAAAAACATGTTTAAACCTAAATGACTTACTGTAGCCATGCTTTAGTGTTTGGGCAGGTCCAAAGGAATGTAGCTGCAGCACTAGTATAACAAATGTGAAAAATGATCTGTCTCTAACCTGGTGTTTATTTTCGTAGAGCTCGATGAAGAATCGAAGGCCCTCCAAGCCCTGCTCTCCAATATAGCCAAGCCAGTGGTGAGTAAACCTGCTGATTCTCAGCACAGGGCCCCGGTCTTCTAGGCATTTCGTGAGGCTCTGGACAAAACTGTGCAGCAAAATAAGACCGTTCATGTTCATCTACTTGGGGTGCCAGTATGAATTCGTCAGCTCTTCTTCTGGTCCATCTTGTGATTTCAGTTCTCCAAATTGGGAGGGGGGGATGTCTGCAGATTGTGATGTAGTGTCAAAGTAATGTGGTTGTGTTGCTCAAAACTAATTCATTGCAAGCAGGAATGTGTGTGCACATATGTACATAACTTATTATCTGCCATATAGATCAACAGCTTTAAAAAATCCTCTGTAGATTTGCCCCAAATGTGATGGAATAAATCACTATTGCATGGAGATCAGGGTCAGATGTTATTGTAAAAGGAATGAGAGCACAGTACAACACTGAATTATTTTGCCCAATTCAATGAATAGGATTTTTTGAAGCGGCTTTTGATGAAATTGCTTTTTTGAACTAGCGTGCAAGTTGGGGAGATCAAAAGCCTTCAAATAATCCAACTTCTAGAAATTTAACCAAGGAGTACAGATACTGCAGATGGCAGTAAAGAAGTGGTGGCGGTAGCTTAGGTCTGCTTTTTAATTATTTTAATCATGATTGAGGTCTAAACTAGCTGTTTTTTCTATTAAATGCATAATGATAACACAAATTGTATTTTGGTTCTTACATTTAATTACCCTGAATACCAATGACACCACATATTGCACATCACAACATAGAGTTGTGCAGTTGTCACGTGGCTGAAATCTCTAGGGTGTGTGGACACAGACTAAAGAAATTTTAGAAACATCTTCAAGCAGTACTAAACCTTTCACACTGGATCAATTTAATTTGGATTGAGTTTGCTTCACCTGGTTAGGAACAAGGTTTCAGTCTGCATGATTGTTAGACAAACCAACAAAGAGGCCAGGATTTCTGAATGAGAACCAGGGTTCATTCCTGCTGCTACTTTTTTTTTAACAGAGTTTGTTCCCAGGTGCTATCTTGATTCATTTAGTCAATTGTTTGGGAGGCCACTGTTGCATTTTTGTTGCTTTTAATTGCAAAGTGCAACTTTATTACATTATTGAAATGTAAATTTACACTTGTGAGAACCTATAGCGATAACTTTGTCTTTTAGTGCTGACACCTTACACCATGCAGGGTTAAACAAAGAGGAGGAAACATATACGTTTCTCTTCTGAATTTTAAAGTAAGATTAGTTGCAGTGAACCCAGAAGCACAGTTCATCATATTGGAACTTAGGAACTATTGCAGGTTAATTCAAATGATAAAAGACAATCTAAAAAAGTTAAAAATAAATCTCAGTTGTGTCATCTGCTGCATCATTTCCCTTTTTTTTCCAAATTTATCAGTACTCAAATTGGAAGTTCAGAAATAGACTGGAGGCCTGGAGGCCTTGACGTACTGTAGTTAAAGGCACATTTGCACAAGGATATCATTTGTAATGCCAACACACATGAAGGTTATCTAGCTCAGGGTAAAAGTTTTCCACATTAAACCTGCGTTTGACAGAGCTAAAAAAAAATTCAGAACTGAACCCAGGGCCCTGGCACTGCGAGGGAGCATTGCTAACTATTGTGCAACTGTGCATCTCTTGCTAAATGTGAATAGGCAAGCCCAGGCAGACATTGTAATTGTCCTGTTTTCCCCAAAATGCTTGTATCGTAGTTGTTGCAGGAATGTCTTCTTTACATTCTGCATTTAGAGCAAGGTCCAGATACCAGATATGTTTCTTGTAAGCTGAGATTCAATAGTTGTGTATCTGTTCTGCACCCTTTGCCTTTGGGTCTGCCAGCTGTGAAAGAACCCTGCTGTCTGTTACAGACTCTGTGCAACACGGGGAGGGCGAGGCCCTGCATGCTCAGCTCTCCAACATGCTTCCTTGTCACCACCAGCTGATACACTGGAGGCTCCACGGTGCCTTGCAGGAAGGATGGAACATAGGGGAGCAGCAAAATACCTCTTGTTGATGACTATGGCAGGCATTTGGCAGTGCCAGGAGTCTGTGTTGCACAGCAAACCATGGCATCCTAGCTGACTCAAGCCTGGGCCTTCACCCACAGGCCCTGGTGGAGCTCAGCTAATTGTGTGCTGTTGGGAATTATGTAAAAGGCATTCTCAGTGCAATATGAATACGATCCACACTTGAGTCTGCAAGCATCTTTGCTGGTTGAAAGACAGATGCTTTATGCTCAGTGTTGGTTACTCTTCATATTCTGGGTCTGATTTTCCCCATGTAAGCACACAGGAGAAAAAGGAAAAACAATTTATCCGTCAAGAACTATATATTTTAATGTGGGAGAGATTATGAGGAACGTTCAGTCATTTTAGAGTCCAATTTAAAAAGTATAGGATGGCTATTGTTCATTTTGATGTAAAAATCTGTACACATTTATTTGACTAGATAACTTGAGAAACCAATTTGAATTTCCTTAAGTAAAGGTTTTGTTGCAGATCGGGGCCCTCTGCTGTTTTTCTTCTTCAGAAGGGATTCCTTAAGTGATACTGAATGACTGGCTGAGTAAACATACACAGAACATGTTAAAAAGGAGAGGTGGCCATATAGCCCCTTTGGTAGTTAGTTGCAAATGGATCTGAGGATTTATTTGAGAAACGTCAGGATATTGGCTTCAGCAGCAACATGATAGGGTTGCTTGATCCATACTCTGTTTACCAGGTACCTGTGAGCTTGTATTCCACATCAGTGAGATCTCAGCCCTCCATCCAGCACTTACCTCTGCATGTGCATGGCAGCAGTAGCAGTGCGGAACTGCTGTGCATTGGTGGATGAGCACACATGTAAGGACGTGCGCATGTTGCCTGTATCTCCCTCTTGGTTCTAGGTGATGCAAGGGTGGGAGTATGATTGCAAAATTAGAAGTGTGGCTTGGTGGCTCTGAATTTAAGTCAGACCTCTATACACTCAAGTTCTGTGTTTTTGGCCTCCTGTGCTTTGTAGGTGTTGGACATCGAGGCTCGAACTGCAGTCCTCACTTGGTCTCCACCTTCTCCAGAGGTGAATGGGGAAAGCGACATGGCCAGTATTCCTGAGGTTTTATCTTATGAAGTTACTGTTTCTTACAGTGGGAAAGATGGCAAATTCAAGACCGCATACAGGTGAGTGAAAATTGTGCAGGAATGTGGAGCCAGGAACAGGCCTCTTAGAAAATTGTTGTTGTTATGATATGTCAATAACTTCCTTTCAAAAGCAAAACTTACAACCAGATGCCTAATGGAACAATGATTTGAGTTGCAGCATTTGGTATTATATACCGGTAACTTCCAAAATAAATGAAACACTTATGTAAATGAAGGATACACAGTATATTGAAAGCAGGTGCTTCCATACAGGTGTTGTTCCTGACTTAATTAACATCCCATCATGCTTTGGGTCATGTATGAAAATGCTGGGCAGGCCCACTTGCCCATTATTTTGGCTGCCATGGCCAGAAGAGATCTCGGTGACTTTGAGAGAGGGGTGATTGTTGAGGCGCATTTGGCAAGAGCTTCAGTGGTGTAGACTGCTCAATTTGCTGATGTTTCACGAAGAACAGTGGCTAAGGTGATGTTGGCATGGAAGTCTACCCCTTGACCGTGATGTCTGTGCATTGGTTTGAGATACAAGGCAAACAGAGCAGCAACTCTGAATTAGTTGACTGCAAATGTCAATTTAAGATGTAAGCAAGCTGTTTCATTTCCTACAGCCTGTCAAGAACTTCACAGAAGGGGATACTGTGGTCAGGTTGCAGTACATAAATCCCTTGTTAAAGCTAAAAATACAGTTGGCAAAAATGCAAGTGGTGCAAAGAACAAAGGAAAGTGGTCCAGTACTCATATGGCCTTTTTCCATTGATATATTCAGATGAGTCATCCTCACCCTGTACTCAACAGGCAATGAGTACATGTGTGGCTCACGCCAAAGGAAGCCTACAGGCTTGTGAGTGCTTGTTTCCCCATGGTGAAGGGTTCTGGCCGCTCTGTAATGGTGTAGAGTACTTTTTCTTGGCATGATTTAGATCCACTCAACCCCTTAGAGAGCAAGGTGAATTGCAAGCAATACATAACCAGTCTGAGTGTTCATTTTTATCTTGTCGTGAATCATTTCTCTCCTGAAGGGAGTGGAATCTTCTAGGATGACCATGCCACCATCCACAGGGTAGGAGTGGGCACTGAGTGGTTTGGTGAGCATGAACACAATGCAAACCATACACCATGGCCATCCCAGTCACTAGATCTCAACCCAATTGAACAGTTATGGGAGCACTTTCCCCACCATCAACAAAACATCAAATGACCGGATTTCTCATAAAAGAATGCTGTTCCATCCCTCCAGTAGAGTTCCAGACACTTGCAGAATCTATGCCAAGGTGCCGTTCTGATATCCCTTGGTGGCCCAACACCTTATTAAGTCACTTTATTTAGGTATTTCCTTTATTTTGGCAGTTACCTGTACTTCATTAGCTTTTTTTCATTACACTCAAGGAATCAATAGTTGGAGCCCTACATTGACATCACCTGCTCATCTTATAACTGCTACACTTTTCATTTATTTCTGCTTTATTTAAGTGGTGAAGAGCTAAGTGCAGCCTTAGAAGACCTTAGACCAGCAACAGATTACCATGCAAGGTTGGTACTGCTTACTTCATTTATTTATTTCAGCCCTGATTCTTTTGACATTCTGAAAGAAATAGCCTTTCTAGTTTTGTGATTCTCCCTCAACTGGATTCCTTAAGGTTTAGTATACTCGACTTTAGGTGTCATCGTAGATCTTCAGAACATTGAGATAAATTGACAGATGTGTAAAACGTGCAGAATTCAAGATTTTGTTTTCTGATTCCTGGTTTACCATGAGAAAGGTCTCTTCTAGCCTGGTTCCCATGTATACCAGCTCTGCCCCCTGTACCGCTTATCAGTCACAGGCCTGAAAAAGTATTTGCTCACTTTAATTTTTGGCATTTTTTCCCATCCCTGAATGTTATAAGAGCTCATGTGGCTCAAGAGCCTGAGTGCAAATATAACACCAAAGTTTGGTGGTTGTTTATTTTATCTCATAAACCTTCCAGCATCCAATATCCTTTGAGAAAATGTTAGTGCCCTCCTAAATTCAGTAACTGGTTTCCCGACCTTGTACAGCTGTAAACAGATGTATGCCAGAAAATTGCCTCCCTGCTGTTGCTTTGACATTACAATGCTCTAAAGTGGTCTTGGTCCTCTATGGAAAAAATCAAGGTATCTTCTTAGAAATTGTGTTGAGCATTGCGATGATCATGATGAAGATACCATCACACTGCCTCCTTTACACTGAACAATCTGCACAGCACTCAGTGGATGGAAGCAGTCTGTGGGACTGTTGCTGTAGCCAGATTCTGCCATCAGAATCAAGCAGTGTTCAGTGGGGCTCATCATTTCACAGGCTGTGTCTCTACTGTCTAGTTCTCACTCGGCAGTCTTGGAATCACTCTGTCCATGCCTGTGCCGCATGCCTGATCGGTAGATTGTGGACAGCTGCTGTGTCAAAAGACACAGACTGGATAGACTAAAATGCTGGATATGCCTGCAGACAGATCCGCGCAATCATCGAATCATCGATCTCATGCGTTCTGGGTTTTGGGCCAAATTTGCGGTTTGCCTCTCTTTTCTGGATTCAGCTCTGTTATATCCCATGGTTTTTAACAAACTTTTACTGCAGTGGACTTTAGGAAATGTACTCTATGTGCTGTAGAGTTTAGTTCCTTTATGTTAAGAATTCAGACAGGAGACCTGTGACTTCAGATGTGACAGGATTAGCTAATGGAATGAATTTGTGATATTCTCACAATACATTCTGGATAGTAGAATTTGCATTTTGTGGTTGGTGCCTAAAATAATCCTTTGCCTTGTACACCCTGTTACATTTTGTTGTCAAACATGTGTTGTCTTTGTCTTGACATTTATGGTAACACAAGTATGAAGAGCCACTGAATGTTAAAAGACATCTTTCCATTTCTTTTATGTACATAGATTATAAAAGGCTTTTGAAAATGATTGTGTTTATAGGACAGTTTTGCAGTGCTCTCTGAAAGGGACCCATCCTTCAAATAAACCCATTTCAAAAGTTCACTAAGCTGCACTGTGACTTCTTGTCAAGACATACCACCCTTGGGGATACAAGGTCTGGGTCAAACCCCACTTTATTGCACAGGTTCCAGATTCCCTTGGAATCCCTTAGAGGCCCTCTGCGTAGCACACAATTTATAAAATAATTCATCACTGGCAAATGGGGGCTTGTCCCAGTTCTTCTGGTCAGACAGTGTAGAGAAAAAGAGCTGTTGCTTTTAATACAGTATATACAATCTCACCATGTTGTACTGCCTTGTCAAGGACAGAACAAACTATGTAAAGACACTAGAGAAAATTACATTTCATTTAAAAGTTTGTTATATGGTAAGATAAGGACAGTTTTGGCGGAATCATGCTCCAAATGGCAACCTTTTTGAAGATATACTACAAAGCACTTTAAGGTACGATGTCCATTGTCTTTATTTGCCCTTAGAGTCCAGGTGTTTTGCAACTGTTTACAAGGGAGTCCGTCTGAAGCTGTGAGTTTTACCACTTTGAGCTGTGAGCCGGACACTCCCAGCCCTCCGCGGAAGACCAGCGGGACCAAGAATACTCTTGTTCTGCAGTGGAAGGTAATCATCAGTCCATCACACAAAACTGCAGCTCCCTGCGGGACCTGTGAGGCGACAGCAGCTCAGGAGCAGAGTTTAGTTTCGGAATTTCTTGCACGTTATAGTGCCATTAGAAGAAAAGAAGAAAAAACCCTCCTTCAAAAGATTGATATAAATGTGATGGGGGTTCATATTGTAATGCTCCGGGGTTCACGTGGGTATGCACCCTCGCTGCTGCCACCTCAGGTCGGTCTCCCACCATCGGGGACTAGAACCCGAGCCTCTGGCATCACTCAACAGGTACCCAACCACTTAAGCTAAAGGGAAATCTCCCATCAGCCTGGCTGCGGTCCCTACTATTCACAGGGAAGGGCGGTGACATCACCGCGTTGGTAAGCCCGCTCGAACAACCTGCAATGGTGGCCGTATGCGTTACACTCTCCCCCGCTTAATTTGCCGTCCTCCGCGAAGGGCTATCCCACCCCGCTTCTCACACCAATGTAATGCTCCGGGGTTCACGTGGGTATGCGCCCTCGCCGCTGCCACATCAGGTCAGCCCCCAAACGTCGGGGACTCGAACCCGGGCCTCCGGCGTCACTCAACAGGGACCCAGCCACTTAAGCTAAAGGGAAATCTCCCATCAGCCCGACGGCTGCAGTCCCTGCTATTCAAAGGGAAGGGCGGTGATGTCACCGTGCAGGTAAGCCGGCTCGAACAACCTGCGATGGTGGCCGTATGTGTTACAATATCATGTACGTTCTTGCAGCTTCCAGATATTTGGAAGAATGGGAAATTATCCCACCAGCCAGTGAGGGATATATTTAAATTGGTGAAAATAGATTTGAATTACACAGGACTTCTTCATTACTGTGTTACTGCAATACCAGCATTCCAGTATTACTGGAAGTTTTGCTGAAAAGGTAAAATAAACTATACAAACTTGTTGTATGATACACACCCTGTCCATTTATGGAAAATGCCTTTGACATTTGCCTTCTCGAAATATCCCTGTCCAGCTTTTTAGCCTTTTGAAAAAACATGCAAATTATTTTATTGCACAGAAAATAAATGGATATAAATACTAAAATAATAGAAAATGAAACTGATGCAAAATAGTAACACTCGAGTGCACTGTACCAAAGAGTATTCATTATAATTTGATTTAGCCACAATGAATTCTATGTCCTGAATTAGACACTTCATCTCAAGTGTTGTATGTGAAATGTGTTCTCTATTATGCTTGATAAACCACAGGTTCAGCACATTTGTGAGCCTTTTTTTTTACAGTTTCCTCTCATTGTAGCCAGAACCTTTTATCACTTCACTTTTGCTTGAAATAGTATCCCTGGGCCTAGGTGCTTTTGATTTGGTCTCCTCTGGGATATATCGGGACTGAGAATGGGGTCATGTCTGTGCTCAGATGCAGACCTTCATGGGAAACCTCTTGCTCTAGATATCCTCTTTTTAATACATCTGTAGAAGACGAGTCATGATCCTTAGTGTGTGGGGGAAAAAAAGGCCTCAGCTAAGCTTCAGTAAATGAGAACGTGGAGATTAGAAAAGCATCATACATTCCATGTAAAGGACTGTTTTATTTTAAGGAAACTCCTTGTTACAGTATCTATGTGATATATCATGTAGCATACTGTACTGTATGTAAAAACATTTTGAATGGGTTTTAAGATTACAGTAACACCAGCAACATAAAACCTAGACTTTTAGTCTTTTAAACCTATTGGACAAGATCTTTGTGCTTTGATGATGTATTTTGCCACCAAAAGGTCACATAATAAAAAAGGAAAGGAACAGAGGGTTAATTAAAGGGGGATTCAAACATAAGAATAAAAAAATAAGGAAAACTGCCACAAATGCTGTCCTAGCTTAAAGGTTTTTAAAGTAAAGTGTTTTAGCATAAAGTTACCATTTTGAATGTCTTTCCATTTCTTTTAAGAAGAAAGAATATCAGCTTCAACAATGAGCTACTCAACCATTATACAATGTGTGTCAGGACGTGATTATTATTTATTATTATTATAATAGATGCCATGCCTTGTTAGAACCAATGAAGCACAGCTTCTATCAGGTGTGTCACACAGCAGCCATGAAGTTCTTTGCAAGTTCTGTGGTTCTGTGTGCAGATCTGTGGTAGAAAAGAGAACTTGCTTCAGCAGTAGATTTGATTTAGGGAGCCTATTGTACATGAGGTTAACACCCCTACTCTTCCCAACAGTGCTACAGGGTCTTTAATGACAAAGTTAAACAGTCTCAGTTTAACATTTTGCCTATAGCACAGTGAAATATTTGTACGGTTACCACAAGTTGACAGGATATTGTGGTGTTCCAGTACACCACTGTAGGCTCTGAGGGCTCTTCTTCAGATATTGACACTTGCACAGACTGTGAACCTCAGCGGTGTTACCTAGACCAGAGGTTCCCAATCCTGGTCCTCAGGACCCCCACACCTGCTGCTCAGTCCTTCGTTGGACCAGCAGGTTGCCTGGTTAACACTTGCAATTTTTGTTTTTCTTTTTAAATGCTGGATATCATATGTTACTTAACAAACATGTATTTAGGAACTGAAAACAATTACGAGAGTTGAAATTAAACCTATTGCTAGTTGTCTTCAATTATGTGAATTGAAGCAAAAACCAGCAGGTACTATATGTGGGTACCCAGGACCAGAGTGGGGGAACCTCACCCCATCTTTAGAGTATAAAGATGTCTTGCAGACCAGGAAGACAGCTAGGAATGTGACAGGAAAAGTTTATTCCAACATTGGTGAGGGATTATGAAATCTCAGGGGCTGACAAGAAAGTAGTTGACTGCCCTCCAAATGTCCAGGGAGTTTGTAATGACAGGAGGCCTTAGAATGAAGACAGTCCTGAAGCCTAATTGACTTATTTAACAGTTAAGATTTGGGGAATGTCATGAACTCCTTCAGCTGAAAAGCCCATAATATAGTTCTAGTCTAATTATAGTAATATTATAATTTGGTACAGACAGGTCCTGAAACCCTGGAAGCTCCGAGATTGGCAGCAGGACCCTTGGAGAATTACCAAGTGAAATAAAACCAGTTCGGATGCATGTCATCTGGATGCATAATTGATGGGGGAGTACAGCTGACTTCAAGATAAAATGAGAAGCAGTATAATCATTTATAATATTGTAAATGATCTGGAATAGGCCAGAAAGGTGGTGCAGTGGTGAGCATTGCTGCCTCGCAGAGGCAGGGCCCTGGGCTCAATTCCAGACCTGGGCTGCTATCTGTGTGGACTTTGTGTGCTCCGATTTTCATCCAAAGTCCAAAGACATACTGGGAGGTAAAATGGCATCTGGGAAATGTGGCCCTGGTGTGAGTGTGTGTGTCTGTGTCATTCAAGATGTACAAAGCCTTGCGTCCATTTCTTGCTGGCATGGGCTCTGGCTCCCCTGTAACCCTGTATTGGATGAATTCGTTAGAAAACGGATGGGTGGTCTGAAATGCCTAATGAATTTCTGCAAAGAGTAACAAACCTAAGTCTGTGTAACACCGCTTCGCAACAGTAGGTGAAAGCTGTTTGTTTTGCAAAGGTGTCCTTTTACTCCTAAGTTTGCACATTTCCTGTCAGCTGTTGACTATGAATATAATCAGAATAAGAAAATGTTATCCATCTCTATCAGCTAAAAAAAAAAACAATCCTTTCAAAGGAATAATGTCTTCATAATTTTAAATATCCTCTACTACTTTACATGTACCCATTCTTAGTTTCTTGCTAGTTGTATCAATTGGTTACCACCAAGCATTGTTTGACTGACTTAATAAAGTTATAGTTCAGCTGGGACCTTCTGAGTCTCTTGTAGCTTCCAAGGTTCTTAACACTTTCACCCAATTTAAACAAAAAAAAGTACGGATTTGTGCGTTATCACAGGAGTGTTCTATAATAATGTCAGGCCTCATGGTAGACAGTACTCAAAGCTGCCAGGGAACAGAATGCTTTTTCTCAACACTTCTAAGTGCCAAAAAATTATATTTGTGATAATTAAAGTAATAAGTATAATTCATGTTTTATTTTTGGGTAATGCCAGGCATACATTTGATTACCTAAGAACAAAAACACGCCTTGTGTTCAGTTTCAAATGACCATCTGTATCAGGGCACATCCACTTTACATTTGCAATGTCTGTTTAAATGTCAGTATTTGGTTGTAAGTCATTGAGACAGTAAGTGTTAAATCTGCAACCTGTCGTCTTAAACGGATCCCTGTACTTCTCCACAACTTCCTCCACATCATTCTTTTGGTTTTGCCATAAGGCTTTCCTTATGACAGTTAATTTACTAGATTAAACTTTATCAAAGGTCCTCTAGGAATGAAAATATTACATCTAAATATATCGTCTTCTGCAGTAGTCATCTTTCTAAGCTGTCCGTCAATAGGTGAATTAGCAGTTTCAGGTTTAGCTCAGTTGTGTTAGGAAATCTTCCGTTTTAACCGATTTCCTTTTTTCTTGAAGGCTCCATGTGACAATGGTTCCAAAATCCAAAACTACGTTCTGGAATGGGATGAGGTAATAAGTTCAAGTCCATCGATCATACTTTTTGCTGATGTATACAGAGACAGTTTAGGTAGACCAAGGTAATTGAAATGTATTCCTAAAAAAAGTGTCATTTTTAATTCTCTGTTTACTACATGATTGAGTCAACATTGATTTAAATTGTCCTCTTGTGTTTTGACTATTTTTAGTTGTCATATTTGGTAAGTTAAAAGGGAACTGCAGGGCTATTTTTACATTTTGGAATCGGCAATGATGACTGCATTTTCACAATGAAACTACCAAGTACGTGGTAACATGCACAACATCCAGTTGACTTAAAAAAAGAGAAAATATTTCAATGTGTGCTTGGCACCATATTGCTGTAATTGTCCGCAATTCAGAACAGGGCAACAAAACTTCTGGTGATGTGGAAGTAGGCCTGTTATATGCTGTAGCCCATGCAAATTTTGTACTATATTCATTCTAAATATTTTCATGAAACCAACACATAAAAGGCAACATGATTTTCCGGTACTTTTTCTAATTTTTGCAAATAAGAGCAATCTGCCAACCAACTTAAACAGATAATTATGGTAAATCCTGAATATATCACTTAAACTGGTGGTGATCTTATGGAATCCCACCTAGAAGACAAATTCTAGCAGGACTTATATTTTTGGAGGACTTTCCGCTCCATAGCCCTTGCTGTTGTCTGAACAGCTCATTTGCATGAGTGAAACCAAATTGAATTCAACGTATCGACTAATACTACTTGCTTGTTATCTCAGCATGCAGCTTGTGTTTGACCATTTCTGGGGTGAAATATCTGCTTCACTCCCTGCTCAATCTTTCATCATGCTGAATCTTGCAATACCTTCAATTAATTTATTTTGATACCGAGATTTAATAACCGGTCTGAGAAATTGGGACTGCAGTTTCTCTTTAAGAGTCCGAGATGACATATCATTTATCAGAAAAACATGTCACATAAGAGTGAAAAGCATTCTACTAAAGGGTTCCATTGAGGTTAAAGTCTCTAGAAAGGCCAGTGTATCATAAAGATCCATACAGCGATACATAAAGCTCAGAGTCAGGATCACACATGAATTGTAAGCTGACATTTACACTGTGTAGAACTGATGCTCATGTTCTCACCTACGCCTTTGTGTTTTCAGGGAAAAGGGACAGGGGACTTTGAGCAATGCTACTATGGGCCTCAGAAGCAGCATCGAGTGACCAAGCTATCACCAGCTTCAAAATATTCCTTCCGTCTGGCAGCCAAAAACGACATGGGCATAAGGTACAAGTCCCCCACCCAGCTGAAGTGCTTGTACACCCAACAATACATTCATTATATCACACCTTAAGGGCAGCTCAAACTGCTTCAGAAAAATAGGGATTAAAAAACAAAGTAAAGCCAAATGGATTAAAAACGAGATTGGGTTAAGCTAAAGTCTGAATGTCATAACCATTATGTGACTTGCATTTACTCCTTTTGATAGTTTCACTTTCCATCTTTATATATATATTTACAGTTTTCAGATGCTGGTAGTTTACGAACATGGGCTAAATTGGTCATCAAGTATTTAAAGCACGGTTTGATGCTTGTATGAAAGCTTACCGATATAATCAGACTGTAAACTTTTGGGGGAGTCAGCAAATTTAAGTGGGTCAAGTAGAGGGTCAGCTGCATCAAGCTGCCAATGAACAAGTAAAGCTTAATTCCACCCTGAAAACTAGACGAGCAAAGTTTCATCTGAAGAGTCATGTTCAAGTGGAAGGGAAAGGGAGGCATGGCATATAAGCGCAGGAGAACCCAGGACAGAGCAGGTGAGAAATAGTATCCAAATGAAGGGAGGTCTAGGGGAGAGGTGGGAAGAGCTAAAATCTCAATGAATGGAGAAGATTTAAAAAGGAATTAGTCTGATTGAAGTCATAATTTAAAGTTAAGGTTGAGTTACAATTGTAATCTGCACATTTACGGTATTCTGCATTCTGTTGGATCTCAGCTCACACCTGAGTATAGGATGATTCTTGAATATGTATTCTCCTCCTCCACAGCGGCTTCAGTGAAGCCATCGATTTTTACACCTCAGGCAGCGTTCCAGCTACACCAGCAAGCCCAGAGCTCATCAAAGCTGGGGTGACCTGGCTGTACTTGCAGTGGCGGAGACCCCTGGGAGGCCCCTCGGAGGATGACATCTCCTACATCCTGGAGATGGAGGAAGAGAGCTCGGTAACGACTGCTGCTACACCCACCCTAGACAGGATTAACCCTTTCAATCCATCAGTTACTCACCCTTCTCGGAGCAGAAGCAAGGTTACAAAAGCAAGTACAGGTCTCATTGAGTGGAGTGGCTAATTGATGGAAATGTGTCGTCCATCCATTTGTTAAGAGTAGGCAGGACATCCACTTCAATAACATGGCCAAGTAACTTGTTCTGTGCTCTCAAACTGTTCTTCCCTAGGCTAGCACTGTATAAGAAATCACATGAAAACAAGAAATGAAATTTAAGAATGTAAGAAAGGTTACAAACAAGAGGAGCCCTTCTGTTGTGTTTGGAAGTTGTTACTTAATTGATCCAAGGATCTCAACCAGCCGTTTCTTTGAAAAGCTAGGGCATAGACTGCAACAACATGGCTAGATAACATGGTTCCAGACTCCAGCAACCCTTTAGGTAAAGAAGTACCACCTGTTTTCAGTTTTAAATGTACTTTCATGTGGTTTACACTCTTGCCTATTGCTCCTGTTTCAATTTAGTCACATTCTGCTGCTTTGTTAACCGGATTTTTCTCATATCTGATGATTATAGTGCATGCATTAAGAATGGATACTCTGCCTTTAAAAGCAGGAAGATTTTCAGCACAATAGCACTATACCTCTGTATGTGTTAAGCACAGCTGATTAAATCACATGCCTGTACATTTTTGGTTTTTAACATCAGTATTGTCTCCATCTAAATTGTTTTTTAGGTGAAAAAAGGCTGCAAGTTTACTGAAAGTTTAAAGTGTCACCTTCTGTTTTCTGAAACTGGGGAATGTGTTTGTCTGGGCTATTCCTAGAAGAAAAGCTTTGAAATAAGCCAGGGCTTTGGATGTGTTTTCCCCACATCGGTGACATCAGGGCTTTGTCCTGTTTTCTCACCAGTTCAGATTTCCTTGGCAGTAATAACAAGCCAGTGAACCTGTGGCAGTTTTCATTTTTAGAATTGATAATAACCTGGAAAATATATGAAATTATTCTAGAAATGTGCAGAAATGTACAAATCAAGTATTTCCGTGCAGTATTTTTCAGAACGGATGAGACGTAAAACCGTGGTCCTGACTCTCTGTGGTCATTAAAAATCCCAGGGCGTTTCTCGAAAAGAGTAGTGGTGTAACCCCGGCGTCCTGGCCAAATTTCCCATTGGCCCTTTCCAATCATGGCCTCCTAATAATCCTCCTCTATGATTTGGCTTCATTACTCTGCTCTCCTCCCCACTGATAGCTGATGTGTGGTGAGCGTTCTGGTGTACTATGGCTGCCTTCGCATCATCCAGGTGGTGATGGAGGGGAGTTCCCATTACCTGTAAAGCGCTTTGAGTGGAGTGTCCAGAAAGTGCTATATAAGTGTAAGCAATTATTATTATTATTATTATTATTATTATTATTATTATTAAATGTCTTGTGACAGAATATTAAACACATCATAATTTTCCTTTTAAACACCAGGTGGCAGTAGCAGCTAATTCAACCAGACTTTCCTAATGCAAAGGTGGAAGAGGGCCAACAGGCTGCAGTTTTGTACTTGAAGTCAGGCTCCAGCAGTGTTTCTGTTACATGGTGTCTAAAACTTTTTCCAGAACCTTACCTTCTAAAAGCAGTGAAGTAAGAAAAGGAGGGACCTGACCCGTTTGTTCTGTTGTTTAATAGTAAATCTGCTAGTTTCATTTACCATCTTGAATTTGCATTTTAAACTGAGAACAGGAGGCACGTCTTTACCCAAAGTGTTGCAGGAGTCTGAAACAAGCTACCCAGCCACATTGTTGAAGCTGATTATCTGGATGAGATCTTCGGATCAATTAGCTACTAACAAATAAGCAGGTCTTCTCTCATTTGTACAATAAGCTGTTTTTCCTCCATAAAGGGTCCCCCTAGTGGCACAGGCAAAAAAGGTGCTTGCTTCAAATCTAGATTGTTTTCTTAGCCTTGGTTTCATCAATCAACAGAGGTGACAATAAGCAGAGTGCTGACAGGAATAGTGTTGGGATTAGCTGGCCAGGGCTGTCTTATCTACTAGCAAATTCCCAGACTTCAAATTGGAGTGACATAAGTGAGCCAAGACTGTTATAACTGTTACTTTTGTCCCATTTGATGAGTCTAGAGTCTTGAATATTTAAAACCTTGCAAGACCAATTGTGAATCTCTGCGAAGCTGGAATTAAAACTATTTCCTGTGAGCATTCTCAACACTGTTTTTGTTTTCGTGTTTCTTAGGGGAATTATAACAAATCTGATGGATGTGAAGTACAAAACAGGATTAATGGTCTCATCTTGTCTATACGCTTTTAATAATAGTCTTTTCCTTTATTCCATTTCTTTGTTCTCTTAAGGGATATGGGTTCAAGCCAAAATATGACGGAGATGAACTCTCTAGCACAATAAAAAACCTTCGCCGTAGTACCAAGTACAGGGTTCGGGTAAGAACACTCCCATAGATTTTCTTTTCCTGTTCTTGATTTTCTTTTTGTGATGTTCATGCACACAGTGTATGCATTTGATCATGTCTGGCATTTAACTAAATTTAATTTACAGTCCATCTCAATATAAAAATGCCAGGATGAAGAGTGATCAGGTTCTGTGCTCCCATTCATTATCTTGTGAATGACTCACACTTCTCAATGGCTAACATCATTAGACCTCTCCCTAATAGCAAGGGAGTCATCTCACAGCAGCAAAGAACATTGGGTTTTTTCAAGGGCTGACATAATTAGAAAGCACACAGGTTTTCAGCAGGGGACCTCCTGGATTACATTAAAAAAATAAAAATGGCAAAATAAGTTAAGTAATGATTATAAACTTAGTGATACATGCTGATAGAACAAGTAAAGCAGTCAAGATGTTTTTGTGCGGTTTAGAAAAATTAGCCCTGAGTGAGAACATTTGATAGCATTTGTATTTTATGATGGTATATGGAGACACTCTGAACTTTTGAGGAAGTTTAAACAGAACCCTGCTTTTCTCCGACATTTCAGAGTGATAGTTTACAGAACTGAGGTGCCCCGAGGGGCCGGTGTGTCTGCAGGTCTCTTCAAAGCTGCAGCACCTGGAGCTGGAAGAAGCTGTTAAATTGGTGCCATCAAGCCAATAATGAGCTAATTGAGTTTAAGAGCTGATTTGTTAAAGAAATAAAGGCACCCAGGCCCTTTAGCACCTGGATTGACCATCCCTGCTCCACACAATTGCCAATTGCCAGCAATTTTTCTAAGCATGCTAGAGCTTTCTACTGCTTATGTTTTTTTTTTTAGTCAAAGCAGTTCAGAAGTGACTGATAGGCTCTGCTAACGTTCTTCCTATTATGCGTTGCTGTCAGTCTGTGTAATGCAGGGATTACAGAATAATGTGAGAATCATGGCTGGTGGTGAACAGGTTTCAGACAAGCCATTCATCTGGGTAATCCTTTATTGACAATTAAAGTTCATTACAACCCAGGAGTCTGCCTGCTTTATATTTCCTCTGCTTAGCAAGATTATGTGCAACCCCATCACTGAAACTGAATTAGGCTTCAGAGCGGGCGGAAAAGCTCATTACTCAAATGATATTGCTTTGAGGTATTTGATGTTTCACTCAGCACCGGACACCCAGCTTCCTCCATGCTGCCAGTTTAGCTCCAGAAGTAATGAAATTTGCATACAGGCGATTGTCTTGGTTTAATTTAATGATTTTCAAAGCACTTTGGAATTCACTTGCGATTCACAAGAGTCCCAGCAGGGAAATGCAACCGTGCAACATGAGATTGCACTAACATTGTCCAAGGCTTAGAGATTGAGTTTGTTCCTTTCTTACAGTGGGTTTTCTGTATCCCTTCAAGTAATAACCTGGGATAGGAGAGTGAAACCCGTTCAAGTGAGGTTTAACTGGACCATGTTTGCATTAAGCGGTGCATGAGTTTCCAGAAGGTTTCCTATAAATCTTTTAAGGGTGATGTTTGGAATCCCTGGGACAGTCTGCAGCCATATTTTATTGACATTTCAATTCTAGATCTTTTTGCAGAATTGCAGTATTAAAATGATATTCATATATTTCACCAGAGTAAGGCAAAGTCCATACCAGAGTACAGTGACTCATTAGTTGAGAGCTCATTCTGGTTTCTGCAGCTTTTAAAAAGAGCAGAAGCTGGTCCGTTGCAGGTCACCACTTATACAGCCAGGTGAACAGAAGCAATTGGGATGAAGTATCTCTCAAGGTACTACAGCATTATCTACAGAAGGGACTCAAACCCACAAGCTTATCAGCTATGTGAGACTCACTGTACCTACTACTCTGAATTTTCTTCATGGCTGAACTAGTAAAGTTACATTTCAAAGTAGTAAAAAGGTCATAGAAAAAAAGCTGCAAAACATCCCCCAGCACATGCTGTAACTGTACAGACAAGCAAATCAGGTAGATGGGCCTTGTGCATGAAGGCAGTTTACATTGTTGTGGGTGTGAAGGTACTAGAGGAAATCTAGAGTAGTCTTGTATTTTACTTTTTTGGCGGGTTTTATAGTTCTCGCTTGTTCCATTTAATGTTTTTGCATTTGCTTCTGTCCGTCTCCAAGTGTTCCTAACACAACTTGACCACCAAGCGAGAGATTCCACTAGGAGCAACTGAAAGAAAAAGTAAACATTTTTTCTATATATTTTGCCCCATGAAGGTGACGGCATACAACTCGGAAGGGAAGAGCGGAGCCAGCCAAGCAGTGGAGTTCCACACCTGCCCAGACAAGCCTGGAGCTCCCTGCAGGCCAGCCGTCAAGGGCAAAGTTCATGCCAACAGCTTCAAGATGACCTGGGGTGAGGCTTCTGCTGTTACCTTCCCTACTCCTTGAACCATTCGTAATTCACAAGACCTCTGGAAGAAAGAGAAGCTAGTGACTGTTACCCAAAATCTATACCTGCCCATTTTCTAAACTTTGACCTTTTCAGATGCTCCCAAAGATGATGGAGGATCACCAGTCACAAAGTACGTTGTGGAGATGGCAGAAGGTACTAATGGTATGTTCAAAAGTATATTACTCTTTAAAATTTATACTATACCCTGTTAAGTATTTATCCAGTTTATTTTTATACTTCTCAGCCATGGTTGTTATTCTCTGTTTACCTTTTTATTTTTTAACTTGTTTAATGAGAAGTGCATGCATTTATGCAGTGCTTTTCATCCCAACGTGCATTATATATAGAAGGGGAACCAATTCATCCACCACTGAAGTGCAAACTCACTTCACGGCGCATCAGGGGAGAAAAGAGAAACTGCTTCTAACATTAAACTCACCATAGAGAGCCGCAAGTGGAATGCAGCCTTAATAATCCTACCATTTCAAACAGTGCCATGGGACAAAATAGTCAGGATCTCAGTTTGACATCTTATCTGATAAATGGCCCCTCCTGCAGCACAGTGTACCAGGTCCCCATACTGGGGCACTGGTTTGAAAATTGTTTCAAGAGGGAAGAGCACCACCTACTGGTCTATCATTTAAGATTAAAGTTTTTTTTTAAAGTGTAAGATTTTCAATGTAAATGACAAACAGACACTTGTCTCGCAACCAGTTTAGATCTCGAGAAGTGGTAGAATATTCATTACATTCAGCTCCCATTGTCCTTTGTGATTCCCAAGTCCAGGGTGTACATGTGTTTGCATGTGTTCCATTTTGTGCTTTTCTTTGAGGTTGTTCAATTCAAAATGACAAATTGTAAAAAGCTGGTTCATGTCCAGGGAAGACATTGTCAGGTTGATGGGGTCTTGGTGGAGGACATCCCTGCAGTGTCCATCCCAGAGTCCCCAGGAGGAGAATTAACTTTCTTTGGGAAAAATGTTGTAGCTTACCTGCCAAATTGACAGCACTTGCAACTGGAACTACCCTCTGAAGTCTCTACTCTGTTTAGCTGCCCAAGCCAATAGAAAGGGCATGCTAGAGTTTTGAGTTGTTTGTTTTAATTGAGTTTAGAGTTGTGTTTTATTTGCATCTTTTGTATTTATCTGTCTTGACTTTATTTTCTTTATATCAGGATTATATCATGTCTAATTGTAGACGTTTTGCCAGTTATGCTTTTTCATGTCTCGGCTCAACATAACAAACCCCACAACCATGCAAAGGAGAATGGGGACATGTAGGGATACTCCTTCAAACCGCTCAGTTAATTTAATACATCATAGACAGCTCAGTCTCATGCTAAAGGTTTAGTGCCAGATGGAGAAGAGGTGTGTCCTTCATCGAAGGCATAGCAGGTATCCAGAAAGTCACAGAGGTCACAGTTTTCTCAAAGCCAAGAGAGCCCTGGCCTACTAATAGCACCCCTAGCTTTGGTTCACTCAGTAGTGTGACAGCAACATGACCCAGGTTCGAACCCATGCTAATCAAGCTCAGCCCATGCTCAGGAGAGTATCTGTACCAGGTTGGACTCTAGGGGAGCCCCTGATTAGGTTTAATTTTTAAAGACTGCTTTTCTCAGCACCTGAAAGGCAGTAGTTCCAACTGTTTGTAACTGGAATGTTTCAGGGAACACATGGGAGATGGTGTACAGTGGGTCCATGATGGAGCATACATGCGATCACCTGAAGCCAGGCAGTGCCTATCAATTGCGAGTATACTGTATCAGCAAAGGAGGCCAAAGCCCGGTAAGAATCTCACAGAAAAGTAAACAAACTACACACAGATGTCTAGTAACCCACATAATTTATGATAATATTTTTTTTTATTTCATTACTAAATAAAGTGACGACCTAGACCTTAAGCACAGGAAAGTCTTGCATTGCAGACAGTGTTTTATGAATGAGACTCATCTGTTTTTACCTAAGGCCCTTTATTATTGCAAACATTTTTTTCCTTTAGGATTTGAATGTCTTTTTGAATGTCTCGTATGATCTTCCCACATCTAAGATATATCCCCCTTGATTCATCTTGTCAATACATTTGCTTCCTTCCCCTATGTAGAAAGCTCTGTATGTTTTGGGCAAATATTAGGTAGCTTTACAGCAATATGTCTAGAGTTATTTGTTTTTAGTATGTTTTTTCACTTCCTAAAACCCCGGTCACGACAATAAGCCAGAAATATGAATCTCTACATTGCAAGAAATTGGGGTGGGAGGGATTGATGATGATGATGGTAAAGTTATTTGTGTAATTTTAATGACTGTTTTATCGTCTCAAGTAATGGTTCAGATCGTGCACAGACAAGAAAATATGCTTGTTAATCTTTTCATTTTAATTTTTCAGAAGTTAACCAAGCACTCGGTTTTTCCACTGTTTTTCAAAATGTGATGAACTGAGTTTACAAAGCTTTGTATCATTTTTTTTTCTATATGGTGATAGAATGAAAACTTACTGATGATGCAGAGCTCAGGTAGCGGCACCTAAAAGTTTAGTTTATCTCCATCTTAAGTGGAGCCGCAAATGTGAAAAGATCACAAAGAGACTCTGAGGTCCGTCAAAGAGACTTCTTGAGAATATTTGGGTACCTGAATTGTGATAGATCACAACTTTTGAAAATTCAATGGTGTGGCATGGCTACCAATGCAACGTTTTAATCCCCTTTTTCAAAAATCTGTTTCCTTGTGTCTTTCTGCCTCTGTTTTTCGCAAGGTTCCACCTGCATATTTTCTTATTCTGTGAGCTAAGTTTAGAATAATTTGCTGGAGTTATGTAAAAAAAAATGAGATGTGTTATGCCTGCTACAAGTTGGGCATTTATTTCTGCTGTCTTGGCGACTGGTTAGTTAGGAGATTGGACCACATCCTTAAGGGTCCACCTAGTTCACTTGGTCCAGCTCAGTGCTTAGGCCAGTCAGTTCCTGGTGGATTAAGGCCAGAATGCTTGACCGTGCAAACAGTCGTAATTGATAAATGTCAAGGTCTTCCTTGTCTTTGACAGCTGTCTGAGACTCTGCTTGTTCAGACTCCCGCAGTCCCGCCGGGCCCCTGTTTACCCCCCAGGGTTGTGGGAAAGCCGAGAGCCCGCGAAGTACAGCTGCGCTGGGGTGAGTCCTGTGCTCAGCTTTCCTGAGGGCTGTTCACGCCATCTAATGAGGAGAAAGAAGCGTTCCAAAATAGTTACATTTCTTTCTCTGCAATTACAATCCTGATTCTGAAGAGTACGTAAAGTCCGTAAAGAAAATTGCCCTCGTTTTGGCTGGCTGTAGCCATTCAAACTACTAGGTCAACTACATTCACTTGTTAACCCTCGGTTTTGATTTCCAATGAATCACTTATGTTGAACTCGTATATCCTTCAGATCTGAGCTTGCCTCAAAAGCTGCTTAGTGGCAGAGTGTGGCTCTTCACTGTAGTGAATACACTGATAATACTTACTTGATATCTAAAGTATGATACAAATGGTGGCACTCCCGGCTGAGCTAACTTGTTTGGCTAGTTAATCTTAATCAGTTACTTGAATGAATTAAAACCTGAATTGATTTTAAATCAATATGCCTTATGATCAGATAAGCCTAATGATCACATAAGGCCCTTTTAGCCTAATGATCAGGTAAAGTCAGGTCCCAATACACTCTTTCAGTTGTGTGGGAAGAGCATCCAATATTCTTCAGGCACTAGCAACAGTGTTTTTTTCAGTTTTTGTTTTATTTTTCTAAGTAATTAAAAGACAGCACTTGAAAATGAGAGCAAAACAACTGTTTGTGCCTCCCATCCCTTCCTACAAGACCAACCCACTCCTAAAAGGTGGAAGGAGAAACCACGCGATAATCCCACGACAACAATTATAAGAATATTTAAACACAAGAAATATATGCATATGAAATCTATAGGCAGCAGTATTGTGCTTTGCGTACGGTGTATCTGTGTTATAACTGTCTTCCAAGAAGCTGTTGAAACTGTTCTGAAGGCAAAGGCAGCCTAACTCCTTATTAGTTAACAAGTATTCTTATATTGCTTGGTGTTTCCATAATTGCCTCTACCCCCTGTATACACAAATACAAGCTACACACAGCAGTCTTTAGAAGAGGATTTATGTATGGTGCATCTCTATTCAGGGGCTCCGCCGGTGGACGGAGGGTCTCCTGTGTCTTGCTACAGCCTGGAGGTGTGTCCAGCACAGACCGAGGAGCACAGGGAGGTGTACCAGGGCCCGGAGCTGGAGTGCACCATCGTCAGCCTTCTGCCAGGAAGGACCTACTGCTTCAGACTGAGAGCCGCCAACAAGGCTGGGGTGAGAAGGCTGTCCCACTCCCATGAGTCTGTTCAAAGCGCCACTAGTGCTCCTTTCACGACGAAGCACACTACCACACGGCTGTGTTCCTAGCATGGGGTATCCTGTGCAGGCTTTCCTTCCTACAACCTTCCTACAAAAAGGCTGCCTGGTTAAATGTTTTGGAAATACATCAATTAGCTTTTGATCTCAGCAAGATGTTCAGCTTTTTTTGAGACCTTACTGAAGTTTATTAGTAAGCACAGAGTGGTGTCTTTTTATGTTTGGAGAATAAAATTGCATTCCGTAATGGAGGAGATAAAACCAGCACAAAATTAGGAACAATAGGGCAGATTTCAGCTAAACTTAAGACGTATTTCATGTCGTTTCACTCAGCTCATCTTTTTGAATTACACGATATACTGCTTGAATTCTTATGGGAGTTTTCACTGTGTAAAGGAAACAGCTGGTAAAAAGCATTTTAGCACATTTCTTTAACAGGTGTAATAGTTTGCAGTAAGTATATTTAAGAACGCGTTTTACTGTACGTTTACCTGACAGACTTCCTTTTTTAAGCAAGGACTGGCCAAGCCCGGAGAAGTAATAAACACTGATTTTTTTTTCCTCAATTGGGTCTCAGAAGTACTGCAGTTTTTCTGTGTCATATTTATAGCTTGGCTGTTGACCAAGATAAACGATTGAACTGGTCCAGTTAAACCTTACATGGATCAATTGTGACCCATCTATCAGTTGCTAAACTGATTAGAACTTCAAGATGCTTCAAAAGCCTGCTAGATTCTGACTGAATTTGAAAAATCAGGATCAGTAATTTTTGCACTATACATAACCACAGATTCCACATGAGGCTTTCCTCTATGCCCAAACAGTGTTTGTTCTACTGACTGTACTGCTTGTTTTTCACCTTGGCAGTACGGGCCCTTCTCCGAGCGCTGTGAAGTGACGACGGCTCCAGGAGCCCCGGATCAGTGCAAGTCTCCCCACGTTGCTTGCAAGTCCCCCACATGTGCAATAGTGAGCTGGGAGGTGAGTGACAGTGTCAGTGCATGGCAGCACAGTGGTATCGTTGTATTGAGAGAATACAACTTGTGTTCATGAACAAAACGGTTCTTAAAGGCTTACAAATGGCAAGGCAAAAACATTTACCCAAGACACTACCAGTATTGATGAGGAAAATAATTACTGTTATTAAAATAATTACTGCAGCTCGTTGATGCTGATGTGATTTCACATTCCAAGCCAAGGTCAAGTCAAGTCAAGTCACGTCACATCGGAGTTCCTGATGTCATCCATCTCTTGTTCTGAGGCTGAAGCTGGTCCTGCTACATCCATGACCAGGAGTTATCCTCTCAGTACTGTTAATCTTTTGCATTCCCTTCAGGTGCAATCCAGGGATATCTAAATCAGCGTTTTCCTAAACCAGTCAGTCCTTTTAGGAGAGGGAATGGTTTTTCAGGGCAAGACAGGAGTCAGTTGAAATATTAATGTTGACTTGAATCCAGTACTTTTGAGATCTGCTTCAGGAGAGCTGGTGGTCTCAAAGAATGTGCAGTCATGCTAACACTTATAACAATAACAAGAAAGAAGGCTCAAGGGATATTGGTAATCCAGGTATTTTGTTTGAGTTAAATCCAACCTTGTCTAAAAACATGTCTCTATGGATAACTTGTGAGTCACCTGTTTAAGGTGCACTCATTTGCCTGCTCATGTTTATTGTGTGCTCAGTGGCCACAGTAGGCCCTGTTAGCATGACTGAAGCATGAAACTCGTTCCCAAGCTGACTGACCGTGCCATGCGGTCAGATCCATGCTTGCCCACTGTTTCTAGCTGCTGATGGTCTCTCTTGTGTTCTCTGCAGCCCCCAGCTGGCAATGGTGCTAATGTCACAGAGTACCGCCTGGAGTGGGGAGCAGCAGAAGGCTGCATGCAGATCTGCTACTCTGGACCTGCTTTGTCCCATGAAATGAAAGGGCTTTTGCCAGCAACTACCTACTTCTGTAGAACACAGGTAAGGAGTATTGGTGATAATGAGTAAGTAATTGGCAGACTGGGGACTTGAACTAGGACGTTGCTAGTCCGGAAATAACTTTACCTTGGCCATTGGACCATGTAGTTCTGGTGTTTTCAAGCCAATGTCTGTTTGTGGACTCTGAGTGCATACTGGTGGTAGGCTTTCCGATTATTCCTCACTTAGTTCAGATTGTCATTTAATTTCTCTGTTATATCATAGTGTGAAATCTGCAGAGATTGCTGTTATATGTTATATGTTATTGTAAAAACTCCAGAGGAGTTGCAGTGTTCTTCATAACCAATGCAATGTGTGGCTATGAAAAAGCCATTTAGAAATACACATCTGAATATTTTTATTTTTATAATATATAGGTTGCAGTAGAGTGAAACGTTTAATTCAGTGCTCAGTACATGGATGGATGGATGACATGATGTAGTATGTACCAGCTACTGTACAATAACCTTTGATAACCCTGTATATCGATCCATCTATTAGCAAAAAGACACTTATGCCTGGTAAGGGTCATGGTACTTCAAAGCTTGTCCCAGAGAAATAAGGCTTCCCTGGGCTTCATCACAGGGTGCACATGCTCAATAGCATATATGGATAAATTGGACTCGCTGATTAACCTAGAGGGCAACACAGTGGCGCAGTGGTTAGCATGGCTGCCCTAGGTTCACATCTGGACCTGGGGTACTATCTTTGTGGAGGAGTTTGCATGTTCTCTCTGCGTTATCATGAGTTTCCTCATGGTGCTCTGGTTTTCTCCTGCAGTCCAAAGACTTACTGGTGGGTTAATTGACTTCTGGCAAAAATTGGCCCTAGTGTGTGTGTGTCACTGGTGTCCCATCCAGGATGTACTCCAGCTTGTGCCCGTTGGTTGCCAGGATAGGTTGTGGCTCTACCACAACTCTGAATTGAAAGAAGCCATATGGATGGAGGATGGATCGATCTGTGGAGCGTTGAAGCAGCTTCTTTTAAATCACTGAGTGCGGAGGCAGTTAAATCGCTGGGCGCTGCTGTTAAGACACTCTGAGGTTGTGAAGACAAAAACATTAGACTAATAAATTTGTTAGGCTGAATAAAAAATGTTGGCAGTAAGTAACTTTAGTACATCTCCAGGCTGAATATTTTGTTTTTTACTGTGTCTTGCTGTTTGAGACCTCTGTTAAAATTGGGGCAAGTGTTTGCAGCAAAAGCAGATAAGATGTGCAGTGAGATATATGCGAAGGAAATGAGAATGCCCATTTGTTGCTTTTGGTTGCTCTTTGCAGGCAGTAAACGTTGCTGGGGCTGGCCCATTCAGTGAAGTGGTGCTGTGCATCACTCCATCCTCTGTCCCGGCAGCAGTGAGCTCCTTGCAGGCCGCCGACGAGAGTGAGATCGACAGTCCGCACTACTGCCCTTCCACCTGCCTGGCCCTGCAGTGGGAACCCCCCTGCGACCACGGGTCCGAGATCACGTCTTACTGCATTGACCTGGGGGACAGGCAGCCCATCATGGTGTGCAGGACCAACAGCTACATGATCGAGAACCTTCAGCCTGACACGAGTTACAGGTGAGATCTCTCCCATGGTGCCAGCACCTGACTGAAATACAGGGGTTGTTAGGTTTTCCTGTTTCTGCTAGGGTCCTGCTTTTATACTTGCAGTAACACTGACAACCAACCTGCCAAGTATTATAAATCGCAGTGTGTTCCATTCCATGGTTACTTCTCCTCTATTAACATTAGAAACATGAAGCTTGTAGTCCTAGTTTAAGTCTGTTCACCCATTCAGATGCAGCTTCAAATTTTGTTACTCAATACTTGTATGGAAACAAAAATGTTGTGTAAATTATATAGGTACAGTTTAGTTGCCAAAGACCTGCTTGATAGTGTTACTGTCACATAGGTTTAGAAACATTTGGCCTGATAAACATAAGAAAGGTGACAAACAAAAGGAAGCCATTTTGTCTGTCTGCCGCTTTGGTTGTTAGTAGTTAAATTATCTAAGGATCTTATCCAGCTGTTTCTTGAAAGCAGTCCATGTCTTATCTTCAACCACATGACTGGTTGGTTTGTTCCATACTCCCATATGTTCCACAACACAAACAAGTGCTTCCTGTTCTGATTTTTAAATGTCCTTCCATGACAGTCTCTGGACAAAAGAGCTATACCTCATTCTCCCCAGGATGTGACCCAGTATGAGGAAAGTACCCTTCCAGGTCATTTTTCCTGCTGTCATGAAATCAGCAAATGCAGAAGTTCCACCATGTTGTATAAACTGTTACCCTGGTTTCTTTCGAAAAAGGATCAAAGATGAGGGGATCTTAAGTATTCAAACACCTCAAACGGTGTTGAAAAAGCCAACCGAGTGGTTTTCCTCAAGTGGAAACCATATTTAAAAATGAAACTGGGGCACATTTCTTTACACAAAGTGCTGTGGGAGTGTGGAACAAGCTGTGTGGTTGAAGATGATTCCTCCATTTGTTTCAGTTAATTCTAACTACCAGATGGGCTGATGAACCGAAGAGCCTCTTCTCAATTGTAACTCGTCTTGTGTTTGCTCAGAACAACCTTTTGTGATTCAGCAACTTTTTTGTTTCGGGTCAAGCAGAGCTCTGTTTATGTGGTGGTGAACCGAGCTGTCGGCTATCTTTCAGGATACGAATTCAGGCTCTGAACAGCATCGGCGCAGGGCCATTCAGCCACACCATCAAGCTGAAGACCAAGCCTCTGCCGCCCCAGCCCCCCCGGCTGGAGTGCACAGCCTTCAGCCACCAGAACCTGAAGCTCAAGTGGGGGGAAGGCACTGCCAAAGCTCTGTCCACAGACTCCATTCAGTACCACCTCCAGATGGAGGACAGGAATGGAAGGTGAGGCAAACACCTGGCGCTCCCCTCCTGCATCTCATGAGTCTCAGGACTGTGGTGGTGGTGGGGGGGGCACTGTGCTGCACGTTCACAGAGTCCACATCTGTTTGCTAGTTTGTCATGCAGAGAGAACACTTTTTAGCTTAGTTAATTGGATCAAAGACCTTTTCTGGGATGTAGTCTGATTCTTGAGGAGATTGCTTTTTTAGGAGATTTTATATGCCTGAATTTGGAAAAAAATATAAGTTTTTAAAACTCAGAATGACTACATTCAATGATGTGGTGTACAAAGAGTGTGCTGGCTTGGCAACGAGTTTCCAGTCTTTTTGTCTCAAGAATCAGAAAAACCAATTGTACTGTAGCTTATAGAATGACCATTGACATACTGTCATTTTCTTTTGATATAATGAGAACTTTTTAGTGCACTTTGGTCTTTGAATCTGGGGCAGCGTATTGAAGAGACACATCCATTTGAAGAAATAGTATTTGGATACACTGCTTCTTTCAGTTGCCATAAATTGGCATTCATAACACTGCTGAATCATTTACTTTCTATAACATCGATGTTCTTTAAAATTTGAGTATTTGAATCAGTTTCTTTAAGAATCAAAATATTAGAAAGAGAAATTGACTTTTCTAAGTTCTGATGTCTGTCTTATGTATTGGAATCATAGACAGCTGTGCATACTTTTCTTAATGATTTAGGCTTTTGCCTGTTTTAGGGTTTAGTCCAAATTCATAAACATTTAGTAGGGGTAGTAATCAAATGGGGTAATCTGAACTGTCAGTTTTTTAACTGACATGCCTGCAGTTGTTCTTTTCTTTGTTTAGACTCTGAGTTTTTAGTATTTTGGATGTCTGTCCTTCAAGGTGCTGGCGTAAATTCAGCACAGCAGGATCCATCCTTGAGGCTGCTCTCTGTCAAAAGTCATTTGCAGCTGCTAAAGAAAGGACTTTCTCCAATCCTTGATAAAATGGAAGTGCCTATACTGTAGATGCCATTTTCTTTCATTAGTAATGCCAGGCAGAGGGTGGCCTCAAAGACACACCTGTGCTAAAGATTGAGAGCTGACATCTTCTTGATACATGGTCAGAATGTGAGCAAGAGGATTTTTCAGGCTGGTTCATAATACATTTTTTCAGAAACTCAGTATTTTCTCTATAACCTTTCTCAGTCAAGTAAAGACCACCACAGGTTTTCTGTATATATATTTATACTTACTGAGCTGAAGACGGATACTGCATTTAGTTTTACAATCTTTACGTTGCTGAGTGTTAGTGAGGTGATTCTGGTTTCTTGTTTTTCCCTTTGTTCTCTTTGGAATACAGTAACTACAGTAAATGCATTTACTGACCATTAGGCCACTCACATCTGTGCCTGAATAGACATATCTCTAAAACCATGTTCAGAAAAGACCCAGCACTCCAAACTCCGAACTGTACACCACAATTGAACTATTTTGTTAGATTTTTAGGTCAATGTACTCCATTAAACATTTCCTTTGGTTTAGAATGATTAGAAACTGAGAAGTCTTGAGCCATGTTGTAAACCATTATCATTGTGTATAATTTTTGTTGTAAAGTAGACATCTTTTGAAAAGTGAACAGAAGGCTGTTTCACTGTCTTTCTTTGAGGTTTCAAACAAAAGATGTAAAACCTGCCTTGTACTTTCTAGTGAAATCAGCTTGAACTTTTTTTTTGTTTTGGAGGTAAATTCTAAGACTGGAATCATCTTTCAGATGATTAGTTTCTAATGTGGAATCGAAAATGTTAAAAAAAAAGAAACTGAAGGGATCTCTCCAATGTAAAAAAAATTGTCCTGGGATGGGATTGCTGTGGAAAGTTACTGTGTTAGGTCCTGCGTTTCTGCATCCTTGATGGTGAAACGCTCTTAAAACATGAGAGTCCAAGTTGGAACCTTATTAGGAAAGGGCTTTTTGATGTTTGGTTTTAAAAAGTGTGCCTTTTTTTTCTCTTCCTTTTGTTGTCAGATTTGTATCCTTGTATAGAGGACCATGCCACACTCACAAAGTCCAGAGGCTCAATGAGTCCACCTCCTACAAGTTCCGCATTCAGGCCTTTAATGAAGCAGGCGAAGGGCCCTTTTCTACTGTTTACACTTTCACAACTCCCAGGTCCTCTCCTGCACCTCTGAAAGGTACAACTGCTTATACATCCTCCTGTTCCTTTCCTCTGATAGTATCTTGTCACACCTAGTCTTTTCTTTCCCAACTCTTACAAATCCTCTTTGTAGATATTTTCCAAAGATGTTATCACACAATAGAAAACAAAACCAATTCTATAAATAAACGGAACAAAGTATTGTTTCAGGATGTATTTTACAGTGCCTTTTGCACTCCAAAAGTGTGACCAGCTCAGGAAATAATAACTAACTCGGGAGTCGATTCTGTTTTGTGAAATGCAAATGAAATGTGTTTATGAAGTTTGAGTCCAGCAAGGCTTTAAAACTGATTTAACATGAATATTCATGTGAAAGTGTCAGAATATGCCATATGAATATTAAGTCTTGGAATGAAAATGACTTATGAAGGATAGAAACAGTGCACAGTGTGATAATTTCCTTAGTAAATTTTGCCTCCGATGTAGGTAGCCTGCCAGATTATTACTGATAGGGACTGGTTTTCAAATACCAACAGGAAAGCCTTAAGTAAAAACACGAGGCTACAGCAATCGTTGTTGCTGTGCAGTTGGGGTAGAATAGGAAAACTGTATTTTCCTATATATCGCCTCCTTTTATTTAATTGTAAGGATGGCATTAATCTACAGGAACTGGCTAGTAACCGTGTAAGTACTATCATTAACACTTTCTGAAACAAGCACACATTGCACCAGGAGTACAGCTCCACCAGTAGGTTCCAGCATATGCTTTGCTTGTTGATTGTCATATTAAACAGTCAAACACCTCAACCACGGAAGTAGCACTGACATCCTATCTAACAAAAGGAAAGTTTAATGTGCATTATTCATTAGATTTCTAGAGATTCACAGTTAGAGTTACAAATGTCCACTGGGTAAAGGAAATCATTCCAGCCGGTATTCAGACTAAATGAGTTTTTTGCAAACTAAGAAGTCACAGTTGAGTGATTTAGAGACAGCCACTTCTCCAGCAGTTAGGCAGGATTGTGACAGCCAGGCATGATCCTCTCAGGTCAAAGTTTTCCTGTGGCAAAACTGAGGTGCCAGAGCACTGGAGCACCACCATTGGTGTTTCTGCCCTCTTATAGCAGCACTGTGTGAAGTGTACTCTTAATCTTAAAACCCATGGAGACTGCAGAAGTGCCAGATAATTTAAAACCTTACATGTAAAGCAAGCAAAGAAACACAATCCAGAGTGTGTTCATAGAGCTTTTAATGAGAGGCTGCCATACTGCTGCCATCTTTCATCAAATGCAATTTATATTTAGGTAAGGGGTGGCTCTTTCAGGACTGGGTGTTAATCATAACTGTATTCTGTAAATTTGCACTTGTGGTAGTCTTGTGCTACCACTGCAGGAACCAGAAGCTCTTGAGAACAGATTGGTTGAGTTTCGGTGTTCAGAAGTAGCACATGACAGGTTGTGCAGAAACAAGTCACACTGCACCTTCTGGAAATTGTTCAGATGACTGGTTCTTCTTAGATGGGGAAACAAGTGTGTGGCAGGAACAGGCATCAGCTGAGCCCAGGAGGAGAAAAGGCTTGTCACTCCTCAGTGTCCAAGCAAAGCTTCATTGTCCGTGTCTCAATGTTTTCTTCATTGAGGAAGACCCATCAGAATTAGGAACAAGTTTTTCACACTAGGATTTTCCACATTCAGATGCGAAGACACCAAATTATAGAGAGTAGGAGCTCACAAGCCGCAAACTCATCAACCTATTTGATATAACTGAGTAAGTCCTGAAACCACAAACCTAGAGTTCACTCTCGCATTCCAGTGGTGAAGTTGATACTGTATCTACCCTACATTTTCTTCTGTTGAGCTTATTTCACTGGGACAGACACTCATTTTGAAGGGTGCTGCAAGTTGTAGGGGTCCACAGCTTGCAGGCTTATTGTGTACAGATCTTCTGTCCTAAGAACTTCTTGTACTTCCTTTGCTGGCAACACACCTCAAGAAAAGACTCCTGGACTCTGACTGTCACATAGCATATGTCTGTGCTCATACGGAAAATTCAGTTTAGGTTAAACTCATACATTGGGCAAAAGCATAAATTCCATGCAAATTCAATAGTCTGTTAACCAGTCCTGTGTCTGCATTTGAACTTTTTACTCTTTGCTTTCAGTTTATTTCTTTTTGAATATTATATGAGTAACATATCATATATGAAAAAATGTTAGATCATATGATGCAGTCAGAAAAGCAGTTCTGCAGAACAATGTAAATAATAATAACCCCTTCAGACGGGGTGCTAAGTGTCCCATCTCCAGCTCAGCAGTGTCCATTTCTTCAGTTCTTGAATTTGTTTCTCAGTTGGCGTCAAGTATATCGTGCTAGCTGTATGTAGGACCACCACGAGTCCACACTGAATTATGTTACATGTTACAATACCTCTTCTTTAGGGTACCTCTGATTATTACAGCAGCACCAACTGAATTGACTTTTTAGTCGTGTGGTATTCTAGCTTTTATTCCGAACTTGTGACACAGGTGCACAAACACCTTTTGTACCAAAATCTTCAATTTTGATGCCAAATATAATTTTCCACTGTCTCATGAATGTCTCATTAGAGGTTGCCCTCTTCATGAGTAGCCCTCTTTTTGCACATTTATGTGACAGGTGCAGCTCTGCTCAGTCCCTGCTTAGACTCGATCACAGTGACTGTGTCAGAGAACAAATAATTTTATCCTCTAGACAGCAACAAACTCTGCTCAGACAAGAAACCAGGTCAAACTTTTAATTTTTTTAAATCTAGATTTATTGTTTCTGATTGTTTCTTTTTCAGTTACATTTTTTTATTAAAATATGGTTCTTAAAATGATTCTTTTACATTTAGAATTAAAAATAAGTGGTTACACCTGGAAAAGGTCTTACAAAACCCCTACCCTTAATTCTTAGACCAGTACTTAGATTTTCCATCACTTATTTAATAAATTCATTTAATCTTGCTGTAAAAGTAAAGGGTAAGGTATAACATGCATACAGGTAGGTTCTTTATCCAGTGGATAATAGGTCAAAGGCAAAATACAGCTTACGACAGGATGTGATGTAACTGGAAAGACAAAGTGCGAGTTCCTTCACAGTTTTCAAAAAGGAGGAAAGTTCAAAGTGAAGCACAACTCTCGGGAGTTTAGCTCACCTGCAATATTCAATTTAGATTTAGGGTTGCAGCATCTCTGGGAGTTAGTAATTATTTTAAAGATTTCATGTATGTACCTGAGCCTGTCCAGGTTATTCTAATAGACTGTACGTCTCATCTATGGAAATCTGGTAGCCTGCAGAAACCCCTTTTTTTTTGCTGACATGGTGTCCAAGATTTGGGAATGGGCGTAGATGGGGGGGTTTCTGACTGAGCCTGTGTGGTAGCCAAGGAAGGTGGAGCACCCTGCCAGTTTGTCCTGAGGGATTATCTGTGAAGATAGTCTCTTATGGGAAATACCCTTCTGTGCTTCTGTGTCTATTTCTCCCCAGCTCCCAGAATAGAGCAACTGGATGACCATTCCTGTGAGGTGACGTGGGAAGCCGTCCAGCCTATGAAGGGGGACCCTATTATTTACAGCCTTCAGTCCATGATTGGGAACACGGAGTTCAAGCAGGTATGGCATCTCCCCTTGGGGTTCTGGCTGTCTGCCCTCGTCTCTGTTTGGAATGAAGGGGAAAAGGCTGAAACAGCAGCAGAGTTGAGGAATCTTTGACCGTCAGGGAGTGAGTGCACTATAGCAGGCCAGACCCTGTGGTTTGCCGAATCTATGGCACTGCATGTAAAACAATTTTCCCAAAAACGCTTCTATAGAATGACTAGATTGAAATAAAATGCTGTAAAAGTAAAACAAATCAACAAATGCTTTTAACTGAGGAGGCAGAAAACTATCCCACAGAGTGGGATTGATGTCTAACAGTGAAAAGGGGAAGCAGAAAGCCTTTTTCCAATGTGAGGTGCTAAAAGAACCAAATTCCTGTAATTAACTTACAGGAATTTGGTGTAATAACTCACCTGTTACATGACAGAAATGTAACATACCTAAGCCTAGAAACAATTATTAATAGTCTCTTGCTATCACAATACACAGGTGTACTCTATTACTGTACTAGCGCATGGTGCTCATACAGGTATATTAGGTTTTACTGAGTGCAAGTATTGTATGCAATTATGTACAATTAAATCTCTTATAATAAGAACTGTTCTAAAATGTTATTGTTCAGCAGTAACATAAGAAATTATATCTGGTCCTTCTTCCTTCAGCAAGTGCTATTTCTGCAAACTTTCCACAACTCTAAAGTTTAAGTTCTCTCCAGGCTGTAATTAAAACAAATGCTTTCTTCAAGCAATTTTAATTCACCTCTACTTTGTTTAAAATTCAGTGGACTCGAAATCCATTTCATTGAAGACAAAGCTTAAAAGAAACAGAAATGCAACATTTTTTTTTTACAATGACTGTATTTTTAAAAACCAATGCTATAAACTAACCTAAACTAAAATAACCTCCGTTAGTGTCTTGTTAATGTAGTGAAGAAATGTTTCTGGTAACCTTCTGTCTGCTTTTGTGATTTATGATTACTAAGTGGGAAGATTTTTTGTGTCATATCCTAGAGTTTATGATGGAGTGAAGAGAGGTCTTTTCACACAAGGAGAATCGCCATCTCTGCCTCTCAAAACAGTTCTGTCAGCATGGCTCTTGCTGTCAGGTCTCATTCTTCGGTCTGTCTGGCTGAAACGTTTTATTGTCAATGCGGATGACTTAGTGACTTATAATCTGTGTGCTGAAACAGAAGTCTACAAACATGGTTTAGAATATTAATCATCATGAAATGTACCTAGTGCAGAATTCCTGTCTTGTTTTTCTCAGTGTTGAACAAAACTTTAATATTTTCCGAATTTGCCTCAGTCCTGACTGCAGGACGGAGTTGGCCATCTCTTCGTTCTTTGTGTGCATTCCCCTCAAGCAGGCACCTTCCCGAAACATTTGTGAAAAATAAATAGTTCAGCCTTTAAAATAAGTTCAGAACATTTAAACAGGAACTGTTTTTTAAAGCTGCTGCGTCACCTGTGCATTCTTCTGAACTTGTGTGAGTAGGTAGCTGCACACCTGAAGAAGGCTCCAAAGCCAAAATGTTGTTTCTTTTCTTCTCTTTTCTGCATGGGATAAACCTTTACTTGTTTTCCTGAACTCAATATTCTCAAGTATTGCTTATATGCAGCTTAGTAACCCTGAAACCTAAGTGGTATTGGTTATGTATGTAATATCCAAATGATACCTGTATGTTTTTTATTCAACGGACAGTGGTACTATATACTGTATGGCATAGGCAAATGTTTGGAGCAGGTAATAGGTAAATTACTGAAACTCAAAAACTCAGATTTTCTCTTTTGTGGTTTTATGACGTGGAGTTATGACGTGGGTTTGTTGGACAATAAGATGCACATCCTGCTAGAATTCTTAGTGCTACTTTATCCCGCTTTATACTGTTTTTAAAGTATAAGTTGTACTGTGTTCAGAAGTGAGACATTTAAATCTTAACTAAAGTGACCATGAATGAGCATACAGTACGTGCTTTAGCTTCCTTGTAGTGGTTTCCTGTGGATTTCAGAATCACCTTTAAAAGCTTGAACAGTTTGGCTCCTGATTTTATAGGTGAGCTGGCCTGTTGCTTTAAGATTATGGAATTATCTCCCCCTGTCAGATCATGCAAGTCAGTAAGCACATTCAGATCCTGTTTTAAAACCTGCTTTCATACTCAGGCTTGTATTTCTTTTGATTGTACTGTATTAATTATATTATACCTGTTCTTTCTATTTGTAAAGCACCATTAATTCATGCATTGTGTTCATAGCATTTTCTCTTGCATCCATCCTCATAATCTAGCAACCTCTGCTTCAGCAAGCCTTAGTTTGATATGAGAGGCCTGTCCTAGATTAGATAAAGCAACAACATTGTCAAAATATTTACACAAGTACACAATTTAAAAGGAAGGTAATCCTATTCAGGCAACATTCAGCCTGAAAATAGTTTGGTGGTTAACAAAGGAGGCTGTGGATTTGAAAGTTAGAGATTTGAAGGTTGATCCATTGCATGTTTATTTATCTTTATTAATAGTAAAAAGTCCTTAAACCTAATGTTTTGCCACAGATTTATAGAAAACATACTGTGGTTGCCTCCACACATACTGCTTGCTATCTACTGTGCTGTATTTCTCTACACTGTGCAAATATTGAACATGGTTTAACTTTTAGCACGATAATTCAAGGGTTAAGCCATCTTTCTGAAATGCCATTCATAACCATGCACCCTTACTACAGTGCAACTGAAGGATATCAAGTTTAAGTTCAAGTTCAAGTTTGTCATTACACTCATATACATGGTACAGTATATGGTATAACGAAATGCTATTTAGCTAGCTCTCAGACATAAGTAGTACAAAGAGAAAAAAAACAACAATACAATTGTGTAGCAAAAGAAAGACAGAGACAACAGGCAGTGTGCAAAAAAAACAACAACAGGCATGCAAAAAACAACAACAGGCAATGTGCAAAACAACAAAAAGGTAACAGGTTATGTGCAAAAATATGCATCAACAGAATAAAATAAAGGGATAGAAATTATGGGGAGTAAGCTTTTGACATGTATGGTAGAGGTAGATTTTCAATGTGTGTTTGGGTTTTTGGTAAGAAAGAAAGGAAGAAGGCACTGTGAGGTTCAGATCATAGGTGAGAGGTGAGGTGAGAGTGAGAGAGGCTGGGAATTTAACAGTTTGATAGTGCGAGGGTAAAAACTGTCTCTGAGTCTGGTAGTCTGGGCCCGAATGCTCCGGTACCATTTTCCAGATGGTAGAAGATCATTAAGTCTGTAGCTGGGGTGTGTGGGGTCTTTGATTATGCTTAGAGCTTTCCTCAAGCACCCTCTGTCATAAATGTCCTGGATAGATGGGAGGGTAACCCCAGTGATGGACAGGGCAGTTTTCACCACCCGCTGTAGGGCTTTGAAGTCAGCAGCACTGCAGTTGCCATACCACACTGTGATGCAGCCTGTCAGTGTGCTTTCTGTAGTGCATCTGTAAAAGGTAGTGAGGATCTGGGGACATATCTTGGCTTTCTTCAACCGTCTTAGGAAGTACAGGTGCTGTTGCACTTTCTTGATCAGACAGGTGGTGTTGAGAATATCTATTTCTGATGTAGCAATTTTTAGCATTATCTTGTGAGCTTTATACCAGAGACCATTTTGAGTGCTTTAAGTGTCTTCTGTATTTTATACATTTGGATTTGTGTTGTGTTATTCACATGTGAATAAAATACCAAACCTACAGTCTTCAGGATCCGCAGTAGTCAGAGGCACAGCCAGGTGGTGATATTGAGAAGCAGTTAGATTTGACAACAGCAGTCCAAATAAGGGATGTCTGGATAATGTACTGTAGGTAGTTAAGACATTCCTTGGGGATTTCCTTAAATTACCAGTTAATTTATCTCCCGCTGCTCTGAAACACACATGAAGACAAACAATTGAGTCTTAGCAGATTTTAGAAGTTGTAAAGGATTACCAGGCTAAGGTTACTGTGTATTTTAGGCAGAGAAAGGTGTACATTGCTCTTTGAATGACCATAAAAAGTATTTTGCCTTTACAAGTTTGTCAGTTCTTTTTAAGAACTTTACTACTGTATAGTGAGAAACAAGGTTGACACTACTACTGAAGCCTTTGAAAGTCTGAAGCAGGTCTTAGTGAATCGAGCTGAATGGTAAACATAGCCTTGCAGCAGAGGGTTTCAGACTGTGATTGAGTAAGTCTTTTTTGGTTGTTTACCTTACTGCAAGCTTTTAATAATATCTTCTGGTCCAGTGTATATAATTTAGGACTACTAAAACACTCAGTTGCTGACAGGCATGCGATTTCTGTTTCTTTATGGAAAGTAACAAGGGAAACAGGAGAAGGGGTCATTAAACATCAGATTGTTTTATTCCAGCCAGTATTTTGAGCAAATTCAGACTGTTTTCACTATTTCATGATTAATTTGGATGGTTTTAGAAGTAAATGGAGGTCTGGAGATTTAATAAGTCTTTTATAAGCTGGTAGCATATAATTAAGCATTACTGGGAGCTTAATCGTATAAAATGACTGTTAAATATAAAATATTAAATCAGATTATTAATGTAATTTTAGTTAAATTTATCTCAGCTTGACTACTGTGGTAAGAACATAAGAAAATTACTAAATGAAAGGAGTCTTTTCAACCAGTTTGGGACTACATAATTTATCCAAAGTTCTTATCCAATCATTTCTTGAAAGGAGTTAGGGTATCCACATATCTGGGTAGCTTGTTCCATACTCTCACAGCCCCTTGTGTAAAGTGCCTCCTGTTTTAATTCACATGGCTTCCACTGTTGTCTTCTGTGTCATGTTTAGCTGTTGATTCTGAGTTGACTTTGTCTGTTCCTTTAACTTAAAGTTTAAGGATACTTGAATTAGGCTGTAAGAAGAAACTGTAATCTTCTCAGTTCAGTTTCTTCAGACTTTTTATCAAAATCTTTTTAATTTTATTTTTTCTTCTTTCTTCTTCGTTTTTTCCAATCCTCCTAATTTAAGTATCGTCTTCAAATTTCACTAGT